GGGGCGCTCGTGGCGCACTTACCAAAAACAAAAGCTGCGAAAACGAAACACTGTCAACTATGTGCTCGCAACAGAAGGCATCCACCGATGCGCTCGCTCTCACAGTGCCTCCGCCTGCCAGGTTCGACACCTCTCCCGCCATGCTCGGATCCTGAGATCGACAAGCGCAGGAGATCGGCAACCTGATTACATTTCTTCACCTTTCGCCGTTCCTCCGGTGCATCTCGTCAATTCGCTTGCTTTACAGACGGCACCAACTACGACCCCACGTCTGACAGCTGCATCGCATGCTGCCAAGTTTCGTGGGGCCTCCGGTCCGAAAGGCACCACTGAGTAGAATGTGAGGCATGGATAGAAGCGAGTCCTGGGATGAAGAGTGCGAAGCAAGTTTCAGCTAACCTTATAGAAGAGGTGAAGAAGTCCTCTGACGCTGAGATCCGCTTCAAGGTCCTCGCCAAATCGCACAAAATATCGAATCGAACGTCCGTGGCTCAACCTGAGAGCCGGACAGGGAGTTCGCTGTCCCGAAGAGATGGCCCTCGGTGGATGCGACATGATGCGACCACAGCGCCGAGGTTCCGGAGCTCCGGCAGAGCCACGTTTTTCGAGGCAGGCGCTTCGCCAGACTTCGTTGTAAACTTTGCAACGTTCAAACACTGCGAGGGGCCGCCGGCTCTGTACACAAACCCCTTGGCAACAAAGCCCGCCATGGGCATGCTGCCATCAAGGGCAATCTGATTCATGAGAGCTTCAGGAAAAAGTGCCACAGCGAGCGTTCCATCTGACTCAATCTTGCGCCGTACTCGCAAGCCGACCCTTCAGTCACAGCAGGCTGGGGTTCTCCCGTTCCCCGGCGCCTGTTCAGACATTGCTCAGTCACCGATGTTGCACGTGCGCTGGCTAAAGCAGTACGGTACGTAACCCGGATAGTTCACCGTACCTCGTGACCTGCTACATCGGGTGATGAGTCATCGGCATCCGCGCAGTTCAGCCCTGCGGCGAAGTCCAGTAGGCCCAGTCGCAGAAGACGTCGCCCTGATCGCGTAAGAGGGCGGCAGTTTGCGAAACCATTAGACACCTGTGATTCATGACTCATGACTATGACCCATGACAGCTGACAGCGCTCGTGCAGTTTCCGCGGCCATGCCTCTGCGAAGTTGATGCTGTCCGAATCCTTCAGTTTCGTGTGCAACTTCCTTAGTGATTTTGGCTCGGGTTGCCCACCACCAGCAGCAGCCCGAGCGACTCTGATCCAGCAACCCCACTTTGTTACTTCCCTGTGTCTAATCCACCTGGGATTCCTCTTCAGATCCCCCCCTTCAGATTCCTGATTCAAAGAAGGCCCTCACGCCCTCCTTCTCCAAGACCCCCACCAGACTCACCCCTCAGAGAATCCTTTTGCGTTGAGTTGTTGGAAATCGGAGTCTAAGAGGGCGTCTGTGTAAATTCGGATTCAACGACGTGCCCCTCCCGTCCCAAGCGCCGAAGTCACCTCTCCAGACTCCAGACCTCTCCTGCAATGAATCTTCGCACCGAGGCTCGCCGATGATGCACATGATCCTGAGTCCCTCATTTCCGGTGGTGTTTAGGTAGCTTGCAGCCACCGATACGCGGAACACAGGATGCGCTGAGAGGCCCAGGTTGTCAGTCTGTTAGTAGCTCAATAGGTCAAGTGAAGTCGCGCGTTCGGCGCTCGGCGTGGATGATCCTCATGATGCTACCTTGCTTCGGCCGTGAGCGCGCGCCCAAACTGGCCTGCCCCGAGCACATGCATGTCAATGTGGCCGAAGCAGCAATTTGGGTTGACATTGTCTGTAAAGTCAGACAGGGTAAGATCATGGGCCGAGCTGCAAGTACTGCTCCTCTGTAATATGTCCGGTACCTGAGTTTCAGCAGCACCAACCGGCTTGACTGTGGCGGACTCTTGAGGGGCCAGCTGTCAAGCTCAATCGTCGCCAGGAGCCTCGGGTCTTCTGCAAGCACATGACACGCCCGGACGAGCTTCGGCTATTCTTTACGCGGTCCATTCCCGCCTTCGCAGCAGTGACCGCCGAATGTTGGGGTCTCTTGCTCGAGGAAAGCCCTTAGCGCATCAGAGCGCAGAAGAAGGTTTGAAGACAGATGCTGCCAATCTCCCAGCCTTGGGGATACCCTCCAAGAGCTCATCGCGGGAGATCGTCTTGCTCTGGCAGTGAGGAGTCGCAGGGCGCTGAACATTGACTGCACTCCTACACGGCACTGTCCTCAGGCCCCAAACCAGCCTTATCCACGTCCAATATCTGAAAGCTGGGCATTCTCCTGATCTGCACCAAGAGGGGGCGTCTGGAGACGAGTAGGACCAGGAATTTTCAGCAACTTGACTTGGGCTCTGACATGTGTGCAACCCTAAAAACATCCCTGAACTTTACTTTACAACACAGGCGTCGCAGCAGAGCGATGGCGCGGCATCGCGGCACCAGTTTACCACACATTTCCTTGAACACACATTCGGATATCGTCAGTGCCAAGTGGCAGCCACAGAAGTCGTGTGAAGTGCCGTGTAAGGTGCTCCTCGGAGGGGATTTCTTGAGGTTGCTAGCAGCAAGAGATGGCCAGTGACAGGCGGGAATCTGCAGCAGGCTGGCAGGCTTCGAAAGGCGGCACAACATTGCCTGCGACGTGGGCCAAGAAGGCTGGGGGAGGGGCGACATGCTTCAGAGCGTGCCTTGAGTGCTGGCCCAAATCTCAAAAACGGAGTTGCCGTTCATCCCATGAAGAGCCGCGTGGAGCAAGGCCTCGAACAAAGTCTCCAAGTGACATCAGTGTCTATGAGCTCACTGCTTAATTTCCGGTAATTAAGGCCAAGGCCACTTTGTACCTGCTAGCTCGACAACAGGTTTTCTCATAGCTTGTCATAGAATCTTTCGCGACGTCGCAACTCGGAAAAGGCAGAGCTTGGCAAATCCGTCTTTGCCTCTTGCTCAACACGATGGGCTTCCCGCTGATGTGGGTTACCGCATGGTCTGTAACCTGCTTCTCAAGGCAGCTGAACGTAAGAAAGGCAAAACCCTAGAAACGGCCTGTGTGCGGCTGTTGGTTTGCAGGAAACCGCCAGGAACTGGCTCTTGCACCATGGCGTCGCCCGCTGCCTCAGGCTGTTTCTCAAAGCGATCCATTGAATGAATCATTCTGTAGAAAGTTTTCCGGTCGAGGAAAGGCGGCACCGCATGGCATCCGCTCACCGCATCCAGGCCAAGCTGCCGCCACCTTGCTGCCCAGCCGTCCAGACTTCGTTTTCACCGGTGGTTGGACTCGGAGGAAGTCGGCCTTGCCAGGCCAATTTTTACAGCAACTTCCATGGGAAGCCTGGACTTTTCAGAAACACGCTGGGCTGCATGAAACTGCCAAGGCATGCCAAGGCACAAAGCGGCCGGTCGCCTTAACACGGAGCTAGGAGGGTGCTCAACTCCCACTTCAAGCCACGCTAAGACGCTATACTCAGAGCTACAATGGAAGAAGGACGCCAATCGTAAACCTTGCACACTCCAAAGCAACACAATGCGCCAGAGCGTTTTTGTTATGCTGCACATCGCCTATCAGTCGCTCCCATGATGCATATCAAGCCGAGCTGCATGTTTCCTTGAGAACACGACAGCCTCAAGAGGGCTTCACCCGGCGTCAAGGGTTTTCTCACGCAGCAGACAGTCTTCTTATCGCCTTGTTGATGTCTTCCCCGGTCATGGAAACGATGGCAATCTCTGATGGCCAAGGAAGCTCCCTTCGAAGATCCGTCACCTGAAATGTAGGCCCAAGGCTTCCCAGAAATGTAGACATGCCATGGCAAGACTTGGCAGCCGGCTGTAAATGCCCACCTTGGCCGCCATGGTGCAGACAGCACTGTTGCTCTTTCACCGGACCTCCTTCCTTTAGTTGTTCTGATCCTCCAACATGCCTCCTGACCTGGCCCGAGCCTTGTCGACACCAACTTTGTTCTTCCTTCGCCTGTTCTCACTATCTCACCATCGTTTACCGCCCGCTGGGCCCGCTCCCTCTCTCCACGTCCTTTTCTTCCAGTGCCCCTTTTGACGCAGTGCGGTTCCTATGCATGCCGAGATGCTTGGACCCTCTGTGATGACCTTTCACTGGAACGTAGTCACGGTTGCCTCTTTGACAAGGCGAAGCAGCTGGGCTCTGCTACGAAACATCCATACACAACAAAACATATAAGTTGGTACAATGACAATCTGGCCCGATTGTGATGCTTCGCTACCGGTGTGACCTCGAATGTTGCCGCCATCGAAAAGCACGACATCCACGTCAAGCTCAGAGCGGAGAGCATCACCTGGCATATTCCCAGCACCTTACTACAAAAGACTATGACTAGGAAAAGTGCTTCGGAGACAAAGCCTCAGAAGCCCAATCCTACTGCGGGTCGCTGGCCCTGCTTACACAGTAACGAGCAGGTGACAGAAGTGCCTGTCCGAGTCTTGCCTCACGCTGCATTCAGCGTCTCTGTGCTTCTTTACTTGTGGCTCAGTTCAGCTGCTTTCTGAAATCTGATGCCTCCGTTGTCGCAGCTGTGCTTGCTGGGAAAGCACGGCGGTTAGGCAAAGAAAGCTTCCCATGCTCGTTTGCTTGATGCAAGCATCCTTGGAAGACATCTCCTGCCAGGTGGACAGGACGGCTTGAGTCGAGCGTGTGAAAGTCACACTGCGTTAATTAAGCAGCTTTCAGAGTTGCGAATGCCAGCAGCACGCCCCTTTTTCCCTGTCTTCGGCCGCACAAGGTGTTGGAGCACTCGTCCGCTGCATTCCACAGGCCCGTCTCTCGTGCCGTTGAGGTCCGCTCTCGACTCGCTGCTCGACTCTGTGGCTGTCGGATTCTCCTTTTAGCGGGACCCTGGTCCGCCCTGCCATGCCCTGCCCTTGGACCCGAGGAGGACATTCCCTTCTGGTTCGTGTTGCCGGAGGTCATCTCTTCTTGGAGGGTTCGGCGACGCAGTCCTGCAGCCGCGTGGCGTTTGCTCAACACCAGTTGCCATGCCTTGAGGGTCCTGGTCAGCCGCCACTCGTGCCCACCACGGCAGAAACCTGGTATTGACACCTTGCAGCTTTCCAGGCATGGCACTACACACCGCGTGGGGAGCTTGGTCATCCTGTGAGAAAACCTCACGCATAGCCTGCCCAGGAAGACTTGAGCTGAGGCACGAGTCACAGCACCCTCACCCACGAGCAGTCGAGGCAGCCACGAAGTCGCCTGAGGAAGTCTGAAGCTGGAGGCCGGATGTCCAAGAAAAAGATGGCATGCAACCGACAAAAAGGATCACAGTCCTCGTGGCACTGCTGACGAGTGACGGGGAATTGAAGGAACTTCGGGATCTGCGGGGCAGCTAGGCATCTACCATGACTCGTGTTCGGTTGGAGGGCTCTACTTGCAGCCTGCTTAGTGTCCAACTTGTGGTAATTGTCTTATCTAGCTTACTCGTCGGCCTGACCAAGGTTGTAGGGAAGTCCATGCGGCGGGATGAGAATTGCTGTGGTCAGGACGAGCGCCGCATAAATAGCCTGACCAGTGCAGCGCATGTCATTGGCCCCAAACCGTTGAAGCAAAGCTTTGGTGCTGGTACCTGGATTGGCATTGCACCGCGCACTGCGCTCCACAAGTTCGGAACATACCCGAGTCTGCGCCGAATGATGTCCGCAAAGATCATCTGCACAACAAAATGGCTCAAGAACCTGGGAGCTCCAGGACTGAGACGCCACAAGTACCGATGCGCAGCACTAGTGCGCTCCGTGATGCTCATGCAGGAAACACCGTCGTGCGGCTGAGGAAGCACAAAAGTGCCGGAGGCCCTCGCAAGGAGAATTCTCATCCTTGCAGCAAGGCTCTGTCCCCACCTGGCCTTGTTCAGGTGCCGGTCGAAAGGCACGAACGTGAAGCTGCTGAAGCCTACACAGGCGCCCCGAACCACATTACAGCCTAACGTCTGTCATGTGATTGACCGGAGCGAAACAAGAGGAACCGAGAACGAACATGTGTCGTGGGATTGCAGATCTCACTACAGAACCAGTGGATATGTAGTCACGAGCTAGCCGGGAACAGCAGAAACAAATCCCCCACAGTGGCTTGTTTGCGGAGGTTTAGCTCCGATTCTCTGGGCAAAGTCATCGTATTTGCCGTCGGGGAACAACTTGCAAGCAGCATTCCCGACCAGGCTCCGAAGGCAATGACAAGCTGAAGGAGGAAAAGCGCTTCGAGCAGCACCGAGTCCAAATCACCTGCCATTGATATCGTCTAAGACTCTAAGAAGCAAACATTGGGCCCAAGCTCAGGAGATGTCATTCCTTTCGCGATTTATAAATACATCCCGAACAAAGCCTATTGCCTGCCGGTGATTTTTCCTGGGCTTGCCCCTGAAGCAGGAAAAACACTGTGTCCTCCTTCTCCTCCTCCGCCTCCTCCTCATCCTGCGTGTGCCACTAGAAGTCTGCAGGAGCAGCGGCGCTGGCCGGCCGGCAAGACGCTGTTACCAGTCTCAACCCGCACAGAATCCAACATCGCCACCACGGGTAACAGTACGAAATGGCACCGGCTCAGGTTCCAAACAGTACACATTATGTCGGGGAGTGATGGTTCATACGATAGGGGAAGTTCTAAGCCACTCACTCATACTTTAGTCCCGATGTTCGGAAGAACATCGAACACTACTGTTCTCGCAAAGTCGCTCGCATAAGCGGCTGCTTCAACCAGCAACATGGCCAGGCTGAAGATTGACGGAAGGAATGCCCGACATCCCCAAGAGAGCAGAGCCCAGAACACGGCGCATCTGTACTCCACGGCATGGCTGAGTCCTGTTGCGAACATGGGCACCATGGAAACATGAATCACCACGCATGAACCTTCACTTCACAGCCGATCTGCATCCGGTCCCAGACATCTTATGGAAACTACCGGGGCCACGTGCAGAGCCAAGATGGTAAATTGCCAGGATAAGATATTGTTGTACAAGCCTCGGATTCTCAAGCCACTGTTACTTCTGATCTGGGCTATATCGGCAGGCAAAGTTGAGGCTGCAGCGAATACTGTGGATGAAGCGAAAGTTGTACAAGCAAATAGCACAAACTGCCACGGCTTCCACGTAGAGGATCCCTGGCAGAACTCAAGAGCTGCATCAAGGTCTGAGTCTTGTGAGTATCCAAGCGGCGAACCTTCCCCGTCAACCATGGCGACCAAGCAGATGTCAGCTTAGCTGGAGATACGTTGGTAGAGGTGCAAAGGTCGCGAGCGATGCTCCGCCCCGATTTGGCTTGTGATCTCTGCAGGACATCTGTCAGGGTGCAGGTGGCTTCCTTGCGGTGTCCTACTGTGACTTGACAATATCTTCGTGGAATCGATCACAATGAGGCCTGCGAAGGCTGCGAGCCAATAAGCCCAGCGAGGTCACAAACAGGGAGCACACACGCGGAATGCCTTGGGCTCCAGTGGAACCGTGCGGTCTAATTGCATCACCCAGTCATATGACACGAAAGTCGCTCGTACCACAGTCAGTCAGTTTGTGGTGCATTACAGCACGCGTCTGGAATGCGTGTGTCTGTGAGGGGGGTGGGTTGGTGAGCTGCTTGTCTGCGCATGCACACAGGCTCTGCATGTATGATGCTAGTCGGCGTCAAAATTACTTGTTCATGCTGCTTATGTTTTTGAACTAGCGCGTCCCCTAACGATTTCCGAGGAATTCGCCTGAGGCACGTGCAGGGACCGAAGTATAAGTAACCCTATCGTTTTAGCGCGTCCCCTATCGATCTTGGGGGTTCTGGCTCAACAACTACCCTCTACACTAAACTACATTAACGATAATTTTGACCCCAACTCACATGGACTGGCACGCTCTCTGGCCTGCTCCGCTGTGAAGTAGCTCAGGGCGACCCAAGTCGGCAACCTTTCACTGGGTAGTTTCACGATCATCCGGCTGAGAAAGCCAGCACCATGTGGCAACTTGAAACTCGTAGCTCAACCCCGTTGACAACCGCACCTGAAGATGCCCTGGTAGCTGGCCGGCGACAACTCCCCTTTCTCGCCCTGAATGGCAGCAGTGTCGAGACCGCAGCGTGCAGAGTTACAGCGTCTGAGACCTGGACAAAGTCCGCTACAGCCATCAACTGATCTACAGAAGGTTCCACAGCGGCCTCGGACTTCGAGGGGTGCGGGTTTTTTTGCTGCAAGCGACTGCTACTCCAGTTGAGGGCACTGCATCTGGAGAATTCGAAAACGTTTTCCTGTATGCCTGAATGACTTCGTCCTTTGAAAGCGCCCCAGAGTGCGAGGTGTTCATGTCGTGGAATTCTGGCAGCTGATCCTGACACATGGCTTCGCTTATCCCTATTATCAGTGCTCCATGTCGCGTTCGAAAGCTCATTGTTGCCAAGAATCCCAGACACGCCGAGCGAGCTGTTTCTTAATCAGCTCCTTGGCAGGCCTTGAAGAATCCTCCTGATTCAAACCACACCATGGCATGTGCTGGGGACACAGGAAGAGCGCGAGCTCGAAATCGGACGTACAGTGGCTGACTCGCATAAACTCAGCAATCACTCTGCACAACTCAGAGCTAAATAGAGTCCTTTGGAATCTGGCTGGAATTGGCCTTGCACCACTCCTGCAGGGAAATGTGGCTGTCCGCGCTTGAGATGACTTTGAGACGCTGCACCTCGAAGACAGGATTGTGGTTCATACCGACGAGCGAGCTGTGCATCATGCCAACACCTGAGCACAGCCAGGCATCAGAGCCGTTCAAAAACTTCCACTGAAATTCTCCGACAATCAAGCTTCGCGGCTCAGCAGTTTGCTTGAATACTAGCGCTTTGCCGAGATGCGGTACTTCCTGTCCTTCTTCCACTGCTCGTTTGCGATGTGCGTGACCTCAAACCGGTTTTTTGCATCCGTTGTTATTTCTCTCGGTGCATTGCTTGTGAGTCCTGTCCTTCTGACGATAAGCCTCTACATCCAGCTTGCTGTCCAAGCACCTGGGCTTGGTCCTCAGGACTGACCCAAAGGCCCTCGTCGGTCTGCAGGAAGCCCCCAGAGCCAGGTTTGAGCGTTCGTGACAGCCGCACAGCGCGTGCGACTTGCTCGCCATCGAGCACCTCCCATGATGCTCCAATTGCAAACGTCTCTGAAGGTTTCTAGCTCGGGTCCGATCGATCTGAGTTCTTCGAAGCTCACAATTTGCTTCAGGTCGTTGTCGCCCCCATCAGAATCGATTTGCTCGTCAAGCTGAGATGTGCTGAGGTTCGGACTATCTCGACCATGCCTGAACTCCAGGGAAGCTCCTGTGCAAGGCAAGAAGTATAGAAAAGCCTCGAAGCAACGAAGGAACCGGCTCGGAAGCGCACCAGCTCCAGGTCGGAGAGAGTAAACACCCAATGGGAGCCCAGATAATGCTCCGTACTGGGGATGTAGTCCCGATCTCCTCACAGGACTCATTCGTCGCATATCACTCTGAGAGGAGCTACTATAGCCCCACTAGTCCTCGGATGTTGCCCCCATCGAAGAGCACGCAGTCGACCTGCATCTCGTCCCGAAGCGCGCTGCAGAGGAAAGAGCCCAAGGTCGTCCTCGGCGAGTCCAAACCCCTCTGTCTCCGACATAAGCAGAGTCTCTGGCTCCACTGAGACTCCGGCTGATGTTTTCGGATGTTTTTGGAGGACATAACGGGCTGCTCCGCGAAAACGCTGAGGTGAACCCGGGCCTGGCGACAACTCAATCACAACATCACCTTCTTTTTCGAAGTGCTCTGGCTCAGTCGTGGCGATTGTTCAAAATCGACATGGTCCTGAATTCTACGAGGTATGGCTCCGGCCGGGCATTGAAGTCGAAAGGCATGCTATGCCGCCCAGCCACACGAAGACGTACACATAATATACACATTCCATTTTGCATGTTCAAGAGGCAGCCCGTGTAACTTTATTCACCATGTTGGACTCGCCGGCATTAGCGACCGTTTCTGGATGGCGAGAATTTGGCGCATTTGAGGGCCGACAGCGTTCAGGATACTTGCGTTTACATGCTGTTGTCGTCGTTGACTCCTTTGACCACTACCTCCTTTCATGGCCATGCTCCACTGGACCCGGCCATCTTCATGATGCATGAAGAGACAAGGAAGCGAGTCAAGAGAGCGATGAGGCCTTCAACTGCTCCAGATTCCAGAGCTTCCTCATGTGCTTCTGGACAGATTTACTCACCTAAGCTGTGTAGCACAATCCCATGCCAGAAATTCTAGTGGGACGACGCTTGCAGAGCCAACTGCTCGACATGCTGTAGTTTGGGAATTGGAAAAAATTCACAAAACAGTCAAGGCGCAGCCCTACTTGTAGCAAAGCTGGCTAAGGGAATGAGATCGTAAAAGTCGATCGTCGGAACATCCTGGCACTGCTCAGCTCCAACGACACGCCAAGACTTACGGTGCTGCTACGGTGAACGACTTTTGCAAATGCCTCCACCGCCTGCACCTGCTGACATGCGACCTGCTGTCTCTTGCCTTTCACCATTTCTGCACCTTCGACTCTCGCGGCTGTAATGGGCAGCCTTGTCTCCCTGCCAAAGCAGGTCTACCACGCCAACACGCTGAGCATCCATTCCTCGCACTGGCGACAGCAAACACACAGACGAGGCCGAATCTTCTGCTGCCAAGGCACCGGTCTTCAGAAGGACGCAACCATTGTGCTGGTCCAGGTACTCGGTGTGGTCGTGCCCTCCCAATACCTCACGAGGACCCACACGACGCGGCGCTTCTTAATGCATTGCGAAATCCAAAGTGGCCAAAGGGCTGCATGGATACCGTTTGACCGAGCCATCGTAGCGAGCCTTGCGACAAAGGGATTGCAACTGCGTGAGGCCTACGCCAATACGGCAGTCGGGACATGCAGCCCACAACCGTGCAATGCTGAAAACGCTCCACCAGACTCCAAGCGGCTCGATGTCCACTGCTAGGTCCTGGTGGGTCAGTGCCTGAGCTTGTAGCCAGCCAAAGCCACGAGTGCTGGAACGCCCCGAATACGCATGTAGCGCAGCGGCAGCCTACTGCAATGGCAGGAACAAGATGTTCATCCTTGGTGCCACCACCGCATCCACTTTCTGTGCATCTGGATCAAGCTTGTGTAGATCCATCCTGAAGCAACGGTCTATGGGGATGCAGGTGGGATGCTTTAACTTTGGCATGGTGGAAAACCTGCTTGGCCGAGTTTCAGCTCTTTGGCTGTATCGCGGATGCACTCATTGCAGTCCAAAGCGGTGCTGATGGCACCACCGAAATCTGCATCGTCCTGAGCAGAGCTTGCCCACGTCTGGCCCCAAAAGCCGGGCTGAGTAGCTGAGGGAAAGACTGTGTAAAGGCTTGGATCCTTTGTGCAAACACCCAGCAGGCAAAGCTGCCGTGAACTGTCCCCATCCTGGAATGCTGCGAAGACATGGAACACCAGACTTCGCCGTGTCCGGCCTTTGACAAACCCACGACGCTGGCATACGTGGGCAAGCCGAGCCTTTGTTCACTGCATATCTGAGAGTTTAAGGCTCGAGGCATCGAGCAAGCTACAACCTGGATTTCGACAGGTGGCTCAGGCAGCAAGTCCGGCATGTTGGTATTGATCCAAATCCCTCCTCCTCAGAACAACAGGTAGCAAAAACGTAACATTGCGTTTTCGCGCAAGCCTGAACACATTTTTGGATGGGTATCGCACTTCAATTCGAAAACGTCTCAAACGCGATTGATGCGAGGCGGTGCAAATCACCGCACCACTCCAAGTACAAAACCAAAATACAAAAGGTGGCGTGGGCGGGCTTTGAAAAGCTGAACGGTTTCGAACGGACAGCAGCTGCAGAGTCGCTGTATACATGTCACTCCGTGCAACACGTTGCACCACACGACACCGCTTTCGCGCAAGACAGAACACGTTTTGGATGCGTAGCGGCAAGCGGCGAAATGCATCCGGTTTCGCACATCGAAGCGAAAACGTCTCAGACGCGTGCACCATCAAAGCGCACCGGTAGCCTTAAAGCTCTCAGAGCCTTCAGTAGCTCTTGGAAGCCGGCGTCCCAGTCCCTCTCAATCAGCGTGCAGCCTTCTGGTCACCTCGACTCACTGCGCCGCTCACGATAGCCGGAAAAGTCATACCTTGCCATGCCGGGCGGAGCAACTGGGACTCGATGTACCGCCAGCTGTGCTGCAAGAGGCAGCTGATTGAACCATCCTTGCCGAATCCTTTGGAGAGCACGTGGCGTGCGGGCTCGTGGTCGCCGAACATGATGACATGTTTGTGAATGAGGTCCTTCAGGGCCAACAACGGGACCACCTGATCTCCAGCATGTAAATGTAGGCTCGGCGACTCGAGAACTCACGAACGAACCAGTAGGGAACTTGTCCGTGGCCGTCGTATAGGTCAGGACATCCACCGTGACGACGAACCCCCAGCTGTTTCGGATTATCTCCGGTGACTTCCTCAGCATGAGGAAGTCCTCGTTTGAGCTGCTGTCCGGCACCAGCGGTAGCGGAGGCATCGCCTGCGGTGCGCCAGCCATGTAGAACTCGAGGTCTGGCACGAGCTGGTCAAAGAACTCTGTTGGAGGAGGTCATCTCGGCGGCGTGCTGTGGGTGTGTGGCCTTAGCCGCAGCCGGCTTTCTCATGACCGGTGAAAACTGCTGCCAGGGCTGCGCTTGCTGTGGCGAGGCGAGCGGCACCAGCGGCAGTTGTTGCCCGGAATGCTGGGAGGCACCTTGGGCGGCACTTTCACTGCAGGTCCTGTCCTCTTCGGCATGTGCGCAACTGGCTGAGTATAAGCTTGGCTGCCATGCTTAGGTCGAGGATCGTGTAGTAGAGGATGAGGGCGTGGTGCTCGGTGTCGTCGATGTAGCCTTGGCCGGGACCGGAGGCGGGTTGGCCTTCGGAACACCTCGACCTGCTCCTTTGGCGGTCTTGCTCGCGAGTCCAAGCGGTGGCGGCGCAGCACCTGCTCCAGGAGGCGGTGCGAGCACGACGCTTTGTGCTTCCATCTGGTGAAGGCCAATGCTTGATCACGGCCCGCGATGCACTGACGAGAATGGCCATCCAAGGACGTAAGAGCCGCATGTCCAATGCCCAAGACCCGCCGAATCTGGTCCGTGCCGGCTGCACGCAAACAAACGCGAAGGTCGTCGTCAGTGAGGTCCGGCAGCATACGGAAGACCTCGGAGGCGGCGCGGAACGCATCACCGCTCTGACTGGCCATGGTGTCGGGATGCGATCTGAAAAGCTGAAAGGTCTCGAGCGGACAGCAGCTGCAGAGTCCGCTGCTGTCGCTCGTACACGTCACTCCGGGCAGCACGTTGCACTACACAACAACCCCGTTGACGAATCGCTCGGGCACCACCAACTTAGGTCCATACGTTCGCGCCATCTTTCTAGCCGCTGTTTCAGCGATCGAAGGTCGACGTCTGCCTCGTGGTTTCCGAAGCATGCCTGCAGGGCAACGCATGAGAAGTCCGAAACGCTGCAACACGCGCAAGTCTTATTTTGAAGTACGTCTTATGCATAACATTACTTTGCAGCTCAGCTTCATATTGCACGCCACTCTCCAACATCACCTCCTAGGCGAGCACAGTTGAAAGCAGCCGGGAGGGGCACTCCTGATGACTCACTTGCCACTGAGGTTCCACCATTCCTCGGCCTTTGTCCAGCGTGCTCAGAGGATATGGTGAAAGAAGGTCACCTCCAACGCAAACGACCAGGTTCTCACGTCGTATACCACTGCAGCAGTCCTTACTTTGGTGCGAACTCGAGGTCAACAGAGGAAAGCAGCTTTGGGCAGCGTTTGTTGCAAAGGCTGTTACTGCAGTCTTGCTGCGTCTAAGAATTTCCGCAAGCGTGGCCTCGGGAATGGCTCATGCGGCTGTGAGCTAAAAACAAGTCTTGTGTCTTTGCATGCGTTGCGACACGTCACACCAGCTGCCGAGGTGCAAATTGTCCATGATGTACACATCATTGATGTGGACTAAACGGATGCGCACTGCATCCTCGTCATCTTCTTCCTTCGTTGCCGCATCGCCAAAGCACAGATGCATTCTTGGGTCTGACAGCTGTGGCCGGAGCACCGCCTTCGCGCGAAGTGTCCAGATGGCCTCTTCCTCCGAGCCCGAAGCGGTCTTCCCAACGAGCCGGACATGCGCAAACGGTCAAAATGACACTGGGACCCTGCCTCGCCTACACTTTCCTTAGCCTTCCATCAGCACCCGAGTCTACATGATTACAAGACACACCAAAGAAAAAGTCACGACTGGTCTGAGCGCGTCCTCGGTTCGCGGAGTTCTCCCTGCCGTGTGCCGTGCCGGAAAGACTTTCTGCGACCGGCTCTGCCTGCCAGAAGCGAAGAAAGCAAAGAGACTTTGCAGAATGCCTCTGCGCGCCTCCCCAGCCAGAAACCCACAGCCCCAGCGCCAAGTGCGACAGCGGCGGTAAGTACCATGGCAGTAAGTAGAGGCCAAGAGAGTGGAAGCAGAAAGCTGGAGAAGATGCCGAGGACATGGCTGGCTAACATCTGGCCATGGAGAGTCTATATTAGTCCATGTAGAGTTGGGTTTGCAGCTGCGCCGCCACGGCGTATTTCGGCACGGCATGGCCGTGCATGAAACCACACTTTACGGGCGCGGGAAGGCTTGACAACGAGCTTGAGCTGCAAGAGCGGAGACTAACAGACATTGAACTCTGTCTTCGTGAGTTCATGGCAGCGTTAACTTTAAGGAGCTCAGAGCGTCCTGTACCAAGATTAAGATTCAGGGCCGCCGGCAATGCAGCCTTTCAGGCTCTCCCAAGAGAGCTGCCCCGCTTCGTCGCCAGTCTCCGCCGTTCTGTCGAGTCAGCAAACTGAAAGTGAACTTGGCGATTGGTCTAGCGACTCGTGCTCAAAGGCTCGTAGCATGCAGACCGTTGCCGTGAACTCCTTTCACACCTACCGTCACCTACTCTAGAGGGAAGGCCTTCTTCTGGCTGCCCTGGGAAACTACAAGCTTGCAGGGCACCTTCGCAGGAACTGCTCTGTGAGCTCAAGGGCCAGATCGTGGCCTGCTGTGGCCATGCGCCCAGTCTTCACCGTCGCGACCCTACACAGTGGTCCAATGTTACTTAAGACTGTCGAGTTTAGGGTGACAGTGGCGCAAGCCACCAGGCTGGTGCTCGTGGTTCTCGGGAGAGCGATGCTCCCATCGTCGAATCTAACTGTTTTCAATTTGGCTCGTGAGGCTCCTGGCTAAGCCAGCATTCAAAGGCGTAGGCTTCTCTGAACACTGGGTGGATGTCAGATGGGTGTGGTGTCAGGTTTGTTGTGTACTGCATGCTAATGAACGCTGTCGGACTCTGCGCGGACATTAGAGGCTTCCTCGTTGGTGTCAGGTTCGCAGCTGGCTTGTCAAGGCTGAGGCTGTGGACAAAGCAAATGACTTTTCGGCAAAGGAGGGCTTCTGAACTGAGTTCCAAGCTTGTGCAATACAACCAGCACAGTCGCAGCCTCAATAGCAGAGTGCTCACAGCTGAGCTGCCGTCGTGCAAGACTGAACTATCGCTTCGTCATGTTGGCTTGATGGCTCTTGGCCGGACACCACAACTTCTGTCGCGGCAGACATGCAGCAGTTCCTCGCAGAACTTGAGTAAGGTCACAGAGCATCCGAGACTTGAAACAATGCGGACATGTCAAACAAATTTTGACTTGCGAGACGATTTGACATGTGAGTCTGGAGATGTCTGGAGCCTCGCTGGACCAGGAGACTGCCGCCCCGAGCCGGTTCCTGCAGCTTTTCGGGCTTTGCTTCGTCCCACTGAGAGTCGAGAACAACGGACTACATGAGAGTACGAATCTAAAGAGCACGGCAAATTGCGGGGACGAGCTTGTCCTGTCTGGGTTTAGCGGCACCGGGCACGCTCTGAGAGAAGGGAAGCTAGAGACTCGGAATAAGAAAAACAGATTCAGGAAGCTTTCGATGCACATCTGCCTTCTGGTTGTCTGAGGCCAGTAGGTTCAGGCTCAGAATCTTCAGATTCAGTGATAACCTTCGAGACAAAGGCAGGTGTCACGGGCCGCTCATCTGGCTCTTCAGAAAATCCTATTATCTATACTGATGACAGATGCCACTGGCCACTGACCAGCTGCTGGGGCGCTGGCAAACCATGCAACAGCGGACACCAATCTCGAGAGAGACCTGTACGCAGCGCTGCCATGTTTAGCATGAGACTTGAACCGGGAAACTCTGTACTGCCCAAAATTGTCCCACGTTATCATACGACCTGGAAGCTGTTCATTCTTACAAAAACTCGCTGCACATGGGTTCCAGGACATCCGCAGGTGAACGCAAGCTCATCGATAAACAAGTCTATGGATTCGATTCGATAGAATCAGAAGCAAGGAATATGTGGCATGCACCAACTTCAACATAAACGCGGACTGGGTGCAAGATGGTGCAAGATGCCAGGGGGCACGCCAGGTGCAAGAAGCAGCACCAGCTTCAACTCATGCTGGGGGACCGGCTGCCAGCCAGTACCCCAGGTGCAAGAGACGCAACCAGCAGCCTCACTCGATTTCGACTTAACATTGCTGAGCGGATGTCAGGATGCGATCAGGCGGCGTGTTCGCAAAGAGGAAGTGCTCGCAGGCCTCAGCTAACCAACCCTCGTTCCTGCCTGTGACTTCCATGCTTGTACCCTCTCGGAAGCGCACTGGGCGAAGGAAGGCTCCAGATTGATCGTTCGCATGCCTCTGCAGGCAGCTGCAAAGACGGTAACTTCGGTGTTTTTCTGAACCGCGCAGGGCGCGCGCGCACCTGACTCCGAGCAGGAGCGGGATTTTCGAGGCGACCTGTGCAGGGCCCGGGCCCGCCGAAACCCTTTTCCAGTGACTGTTCCACGTGCGAAGATTGCAGAATTTCAGAAATTCCCTGCAAGAAACCCGGGTGTGGGTCCCAGAATAATCGTCGTGGCTGTTTTCCCGTTAGCATCTCGAGCTGGCAGTTTGCACGGCAGTCGAACGTAACAATCAGCCTCGAGGGCCTCGGACTTTTGCGCAGCCTTGTCCTGACCAGCCCGCTTCTGTGCCTACTTCCCATCTGTCAAGCAGTGTAAGTACGGCACCAGCAAGAGGGCGGCAGAGCGTGCACATCCTTAGCAACGATGCTGAACCGAGAACAGCTCAGTCGCGCGGGATGGCTACTGAGTGTCTGATAATTTTGCACCCTTGTAAGTTTACGTTCTCCGACATGACAAGTGCCAGGCTCACAGCAGCGGTGAAGTAAGCCGGTCGCACCTAGGCTCTGTCTGCTGAAACACGTGACTGGGTGCCTTCACATTCGGCGCGACGCGTGCGATCTCGATGACCGACAATGGGGCACAATTCATTTTCTTCGCTGGCATCAACTTGCGTGGCTGTTGTCTTCAGCCGCCGCACGGCTTTGCCGCTCAGCTCAGAAAGCCACTCGTCATCCTTGTACATGGCACTACAAGATCCAAACTTGCACTGAAAGCAAAGCGACGCAAACTTCTGTTCTACCCTCTTTGGTATGATGGAAAATCGCGGAACGAGGCCTCTGAATATCAGGGCTCGGAAAACTAAGCTGAGCCGCCGTGCATGATGACTTAAGGCCTATATTGTACCCTACAGATCGAGTTCTAGTCGGTTGTATATCTACCCAAGTGGGTCCTCCTTGCCACAGCCATGGTAGCGAATCTTCACCTGGAGCGCATTGTCTGCAGCTTCCTCCCGCTTCATGTGCAGCACCTTGTCAGCTACGGGCAAGCACCCATGCATGGCTTCTTGGCACTGAGTTTGCGGCGGTGGCCCCGTACCAGCAGCCGTCATCGCACCTCAGGGTGCCCACGGCCCACGTTGAGCAGGCAAAGGCACATCGTAGGTCAGGTATGAGCAAACAAACGTCAGCGGAGAAGCGCTGGTGCTCTACTTAGCTCTGGGTTGCTTCAGGCTCAATTCTCCGCTTCCTGTGGCTCCTGAGTCGCCAGCTTGACTCCCACCTGCGACACGCGCACTGTGATTTCTGCGACGGGCAGGGAGGAGCCAGCTTAGCCTTACTGTTCTGAGACCTCAAGTTCTTCATTCTTGGCGAGATAGAGTGGCGTAGAGCATCCATCACATGCAAAACTCTGATCTTGGGACCCGGAAGCCCCTTGAAGCCCATCAACTCACAGCCCCTCAACGGGCCAGAGTCGGCACAAAAGAATCCTGGCAGCCGGAGAACTGACCGCCAAGCACCGAACCCTTGAAGTACCCGGTAGCACAGGTCCTTGTACTGCGGCTTCATGGTTTACAGTTTCGTATAAAATAACCCATAAGACTCATGGATATGAGCAATGCTGGCCCGTGGCACAGTAGAAACCGACCCGCCTCGGTGCCCCTTTCCAAGGCTGCAAAGCAAGCTTTCCGTTTTGCGCCTCTCACGCCTTGCTTCGGAATAGTGCGAGGCGGGAAAGGTGATCAAGACCGATTGCACGACGGGCAATCACAAACGAAAAGTGCTATCGTGAGTTGCTATTGCAGCCAGGCAGCTTTTTGCTTCTGCTGCCTGCTAGGAGGTTTTGAAACAGCAGTAACTGCTACAAGTTGCAGGATTGCACTTGTGAGGATCGGGTGTGCCACGACTCAGCTGCACATGGCTGCAGGTGCATCTCCGCTGTCCGACAGGACGAGGCGTTGATCGGCTGTGTGAGGCTCGGGACACTTCTGATCTTGTGCCAACTATAGGTAATTAATTAGTCAAGCATCTGGTCGGGTTTAAAGATGAACTCCATTTCAAAGGCGTCGCCAGTTCCCTCACCGTTACTCTGGACCTTTGACACGCCCCACCAGACGTAGGTCCCGCAGAGGCCCGTCCCCGTAGTCAGCGCATAGCAGCCCCAGCCATTGCAAAATTTCTTCGGGGGAAGTCCGCCTGGGCTAATCCAAACCTCAGATTGATTGTCCTCATTGGTGGCAACGAACTGAGACATTGCACAAAAAAAGTAGGTGACGTCAATGCCACAAGTATTGCGTGGCATCCTGGCCTTCTTGTAGAGATGAGGCTCTTCGATTATTTCAGCATTTTTGGGCAAGCGCGCCATAGCTTCACCGTATTGGTTCAGGAAAAAGAGCTGCCAGATGTGCCAGTAGTCTTGTTTTCCCTGAGAGCGCACCGTATCGCTGCCCTCGAGGCCCCTCCTGCGAGTCGATCGGACAGCTTCATCTGGCCAGACCGGGGTTCTAATGCAATCATCCCCAATATTTGTCCCGCCAGCATAAAACCAAGACCATGGACCAAGGGTGAGCACTTCTGGGAGAGGACCTCTGGTCAAATGTCTTTTCTCGACCAGGCACTGTGCGTAGGAGCAAGAGAAATGGCTTGACCATCGGCACCAACTCGTTGGCAAACAAGTACCTCTCATACTGAAGCTCCACAGAACGAAACAACCCAGGGTCATCCCAGGGTTTAGGATGTGAACGAATAATCATGTACTTGTCCAACAAATCATCACGAAGAGTTCCAACATAACGCCTGCGCCTCCCATACTCGAATTTCACGAGGGAGAAGCGCCATTGCTTCCAAGCCTCAATCATCTTGGTCTTAATCTCCTCGGTGTATTTCTTGTACTGGTCCTTCATCTCTTTCACCATGCGATCACTCTCTTTTGATGTTCCCTGCCATGGGTGCGGCCATGTGTCCTTCAGCAGGGTTATGTTGTGAAGCTGCCGGCGCAAGGACATGGCCAGGGTCACCGCGGCAATGTAAGTCGGAATCCCTTGCGCTCGTGATTTGTTGCGGGGAAGTTGGGAGCCACCGGCCAGGATCGTGTTGCGAGCTGTATTAGCAGAACCCCATGCCTGCCGCAAGCTTGATTCCGCTCGTGACCAAGCGTCTTCAGGAAAGACAGGTGGACGCCGGAAGGGGCGAAAAGTAAAGTTCTTCGCCTCTTCGACTGCTGCCAGTAGCTTCGCAGATGCTGGCTCGTAATCCTTCTTGAGGATGTCTTTGGCTGAGTCGAGATGTGCTTGTGCTAAGTCACGCACCAAGGCTGCTTCTTGCTCGCCAACATATTTCACCGTCCATTCCCTCACGATCTTTAACAAGGCTTCCTCCTTCTTGGTTCCAGGTGGCGGAAAGAAGATCGATATGAACAGATTGACCAACTCACCCGCAAATCCACCCACAGCCATTTCGGCAATCTTGGCCGTAATCAGTTTGGTCCCTAGAGCATAGATCTGCTCCTTGTATGACTCCAACCAGCGATCATCGTAGTTGAAAGGATCTAGCTCCGCAGTCTTTGCCGTTGCATTCAACGTGAGAGCGCATGACGCGTCGTCCGCAGAATCAGGCACAAGCAAGAATAGGACCCATGGAAGCATGGGCGAGGTCCTTCTGAAGCTGCGAAAGAAGCTCAAAGTGCCGACAGACTGGGGTGTGTTCTGGACATCCTTTACGGTGCACTCACTCCAACCTTCGGTTCCTAGTCATACCATCGCGTCAATCTACCTGAAAGCGATAAAAGAGAAGACCCGGAGTGAAGCACAGTGTGCCACAGGACTGCCTGCTGCTCAGCCGATGCAGTTGCCGGAGGAGCCACCGGGGCCGGAGATGGGCAGCAGGTGGCTTCAATCTGTCACGACAAAGCACTGCTTGAAATGAGCCCCGCCGCACTGTCACGAGCTACACCCAATGCAGATTCAGTGTGCAACCCAAGGGCAGACTGTCGCAAAACCAGACTGACCCGCGTGCGGAAACCTTGGCGTTTGTGGCCGCTGTACCAGAGACTGCTATTTGCAGAACGTTGCCATGCTTTTGATGCGCCAAGCTGCGCCAAAGTAGCTCCCTCGCTCTACACTGCAGCTCGTTACTGACCACATCCTCCCAGAAGGCCTGGCACACAGCCAAGACCACAGCGAGCATTGACACGAGGAGATCCTCACTTTGCCTGCTGAGTGTTCTCAGGCAAACAGAGCCGCCGCCTGACGGTCGTCCGCCCGGCTCACAGCAAGATGTACACGACAGATTGCATGTGTGGCCTGTATGCCTCTTTCTCAGACTCATTCTCCAAGAAGTGCACCTTGTTTTAGCAACATGTATCAACCAATGTCCAGCCGGCTGACAAAGAAGCTCCTCCGCTGATTCATCACTAGCGACTGAGATGCAAGCAAGCCCCAGCTGCCGCTGCAGGAAGCTGAGAGCCCCTCCCGCCGAGGTCCACTCCCGCGTGAAGCTTGCTTTGTCTGGCAGCGCAGGACTCTGCGACAGGCATCGAGCATTGACATGGTGGCCTCCGTGCGAGAGCAGGCTGCGAACTCGACCTGCGGCTTTTCCGAAGTTGCCCTCCTGCGCCACAAGACACCCAGGTTGGCCCTTCAAGTGATGGGCTCGATACCGCAGTCCCAACCGCTTCATCCGGAAAGCTAGGTCAGTTAGTCAGCTAGTCCTCCAACTTTGCAATGGCACGCCGCAGCTTCTCTGCCTGACAAGTCGAGCAGTCTGTGATCGTATCAAGAACACTGGTTTGCAACTGGTGCCATGGTGCTTGAAATGCGGGCTCGTGTTTTCGGACAGGTGTCAGCCGTGTTGGTTTAGTCATCCGTCCGACAAAAGTCAAGTGAAAATTCCTGAGGTGCCATGGTCTTCTGCTCTCCTTTCTCTGGCTGAACTCGCCTTCTTCACGAAAGGCGCACCGGCTTGGAGCGTGAAATCCACGGGCACGGCCCAGCCGCGCTGGCTTTCGACCGTGTAGACTCCTGCATTCACAGACGGAGCAGAACTGTGGCACGGCAGTGGTGGATGGGCATTGGTGGCATTGGTGAAGCACTGCCGGAATACTGCGGCCCGAATCACAAAATGCGTGGTCCGCGAAAGGGACTCTCGCGGAAGCCAAGATAGCGGGTCGTAGAGCGGTGGCCGCAACAGTGAAGGTCATACTGATATAGTATCTGATAGTCTCATTCGTTATATCGGACCATGGATCAGATAGCAGATGGCGATGTACTCAGGGCGATGGTTGTCCAAAGCCACCAGTCTCGAGGCTGTCTCGAGAGGCTTTCGGCTGACTACAGGGGCCTGGCAACTCCATATCCATACTGTCCATACCACCAGTACGAGCATGTTAGTCGCTTTCCCAAGGAAGGGTCTTGATTCGGGCTGACAGTGGTTAGCCCTGCAGTTCCACGCCTGTCAAAATCACGACGTCAGCTCCTTTGGCGACGCCGGACAGCACCTTCCGGAAGCGCAGGGCTTCGCTTGTCACGGATTGCCACGAGGCAAGAACAGAGTAGCCGAGGGTTCGGTCCACGAGAAACATGGGAGCCCGAAGCCTCGGCGAGCTTCTGGAACCGGCCATTGAAAACCTCCGTCCCCTGGAAGAGCACCTGCAAGGAATAGTCGGGTCAAACGCGTTGCGCAGATTTGTGCAGCTTGGGCAGCCAAGGCCAGGGCCTTCGCATGAATGATCCGCGCTTTTCGACAGAGGCTTTTGACCATCTGGCAGCGGTCAGGCAAAGGCCAATGCATCTTGAGTCAGCTGTCAGCTGACAGAAGTGCTGCAGAGCAGAGTTATTAAAGATGACCAGACAGCTCAACTTCATTCACTCAGCTCCACGCCGCATAAAGTTGGCGCACGTCTTCCGGCGCAATTTGTTTGGAAGCTTCGGATTTCCTCCGCTGGTCTTCGATCTTGCTTGGCCGAACAATCGCTTTATGCCTTTGCCGCGGCACTTCTGCAAAAATATTAAGTCGACATCCACGAGATATTCCACCTCAGCTGCACTGCCAGCGCTCCACACACAAACATGCAGCAACATGCATCAGAAATGCGTTCCAGGCAGCAGTTCTGTGGTGCATCCAGGACTTCCCAAGAATTGAAGCTACAAGTGACAAGGCTAAACAAGGCTTGCAGAATGCCGAAAGCCACCAGCAGGAAGTCACGGAAGACTCCGTCACGCTCCGTCCTTTAACCCATCAGCCGAGAAACATTTTCTGGAAGGCTTCGGCGCAAAAAAGTATATCCAGGCCAATGCTGTTCATGCTCTGCGCCCAAGGACCTTGCCCGCATCTCCAACAATCTACCGATGCCCGAGAATGCACACGAAATGCGCCGTCTCTGCAGCAAATCACTGCAAGCACGATAGTTCGGGCGAGAAACTGCAGCTGCATCCAGACTTTCTCTTTGCTGGGGTATTGAATTGCCTCCGGTCAGACAGGAAAGGCCGAAAGGCCTGGACCGTGGTCGCTGCCGGCTCCGAACCGCAAGCCCAAGGAGCCTTAACGATGTCCTCCAGGCTCGTGGAGCTCATCGTCACAGACCCAGTCCCAGCTCAGCTCACATCAGAGGGTCCGTTGTGAGGTGATTCGCTGCTTGCGATGACAAGGAGGGGTCGTTGTGGTTCTTTCTGCACTTTCTGGCCGGCTTTTGTTGTGCTGACGGGTTGCTGCTTTAGCCCAAGCAATTGGTTCCTCGGAGAGTTTTCAACGGAGTGGAGCGGCGCAGTTTCTGGTCCAAAGCAACTGGCAAAGCATTCCGCCCTAGCCGTGACGTATTACAGGGGCCCTGGCCATGCTGTACTCAGCCTCCTCCTTAGATCGCACAGATCTGCAAAGCGAAGCAACTGCTATGCAAAGCAGCTCTCGTGCAGGCACGAAAACCCTTCTCTCTCAGCCGCAGGCTAACTCAGCAAGGCTGACACAGAAGTGCGACATGATCTTCTCGAGTGCTAGGAACAGGATATCCTTTCAAGAGACAAGCGATGTCGGCCAAGACCCGTCTGCCACACTCGGAACTGTCACTTCCCCGTGAGCTGCCCACGAGATCGGCAGACGCCTGCAGCCTGTGACGAACACTGGAGCAGAGACAAGACAGACCGTCACAGGCGCGCCGAAGTGGGAAGGTAGAACTTGGCCTGCCGATACAGTCGAAGATTCGATCCAGATCTTTGACCTGGCATCAGCCGGGCGAACAAAGCATGCAGTCACGCAGAACTTAACATCTCAGTATGAAAACTGCAGTGATTACCGGAAGAGGCCCTGAGTCAAGCAGAGACAAAGGTGTATAGGTGCCTTGGTCTGGTCCATGGCGAGAGGTGAAGGCAGGGCTGCTGACTTGGCGATGGACCTGGCATGCCCGCCTCTGGCATCTTCTCGAGATTTCGATGGAGCCATTATCTGGCCATTCTCTGGCCTGGCAAGTTCGATGGCCTCCTTCTCGTGCTGCAACAGCATCATCCTGAAGCAGAATCTCTTGGCTCACCTCTGGCTCGCGACTGCTCTACCGGTGGAGCTGGAGGCGATTCGGGGCCCGGGCTCGCGGCTTCTGTCCTGCTTTGCAGGGTGCAGCAAGGGAGCGCAACGCACGGAGTGTCGTCGCCTCCTCGTCGTCCCCAATCACGTGCGACTCTGACTGCACGATTTCCTGCAAGCCCGCACAGTCTGCTGCTCTAACACCTTGCACCCTGCAGCCTGGCCTTCGTCGCATCTTTGTTAGGCTCCAGCTTTTCTTCATCCGGCGCAGCCGAGGCCGAGCCATTCTGCCTCTCAGTCTCTGCGTGGCCAAAACAGCGTGCTACGGGCATCTACGGGCTGCGGAGTGCGGGGCACCTGGTGAGTCCCGGCTCGGCCCCGAGCCGCCCCACAGCAACTTGCTGCAGCCTACCGTCCCGAACATTGACAAGACAGGACATGACAAGAGCTGGGGCCCAGCCCACTGCGCCTCAATTGCACTCGCGAAGTTGTCAACTCCTCGCCTGGAGAGAGAGGTCGCTAGTGCTTGGCATTCACCTCTGCGTTTGGAATGCTCGTGGCATTGCCATTTAGCATTGTACCAGCCCCAAAAGTAAACCAAACTCGCCGCATCCCACCTGTGGAGCTCTGTACCTTGAGGCCATGAGCTGCAAGCAGTGCTCTGCAACGGAGTAGTGCCAGCTCTGCTGCAGGTCCCTGGCTGAGGCGGCATAGCTGTTGAGTTTTGGATTCTTGGATGGCTGGATTTTAGCTTTGCCGTGGCCTGGCGCGTTGATGCCGCTGCCCATAAAGCGCGGGTCACCTCGCCTCCCCTTGTCAATGGCCGGACACTTCCAGTACAGGCAAAGCCTCGCCGCTACCCGGTTTTCCGGAAGCAAAGCAGCCTCTGCCAAAAGTCGACCGCGCAGACTTCTGCTGCAAGTTGCTCCTGACAAGAAATCGAAGTGGCTAAATACAACTTTGATTTGCAGTCTTGCCATGTTGATGCTAGGTGGTGACCGGTGGACACCTCCTCTTCAGCTGTAAGCCGCCCTCGCTGGCAGGAGCCATCGAAACCGAAGCCCTCCTGCAGCAGAACTCCCAAGGCCAGGCCAAGGCGTGACAGGTCTATTGAATTGAAGACCTTATACATCAATGTAGATGTTTATTCAACTGCTGCTGAGTGGGGGCAGTATCCAAGGTCGAGATCATTCCAGCGCGGAACCTTAAACTTAAACATCCTGTCCTTAAAGCCTGCAATCGGTTGGGCCTCCACCCACATGCGAAGACGCCCATGCTCAGTCTCCCTCAGGCCGAGATACCTCAGGCTCTGATTCCGATGTCTTCATCTGATTTTTATTTGTTCTGCAGCGGCGAGAATGACGAAACTCCTCCGCAGAGGCACTACTGGTACTATTCTAGTTCTACTTGCTCTACCAGAAGCAGTAGCAGTTGTGGCAGTAGCTGCTACTACTACTACTACTACTGCTACTACTACTGCTACTACTACTACTACTACTACGACTACGACTACGACTACGACGACTACTACTACTACTACTACGACGACGACGACGACGAAAAACTACTACTAGTACTCGTCTCGTACTCGTACACCTACTCCTACTCCTACTTCTACTCCTACTCCTACTGCTACTACTCCTACGCCGCTTACTGCTGCCTCTCCCACTGCTGCTATCACTACTACTGCAATTGCTGCTGCTGCTGCTGCTGCTACTCCTGCTCCTTCCTTCTCCTTCTACTACTCCTATTAATTCTACCGCCACCAGCAACACCAACACCACACGACTGTTACTATTGGCTCCTGTTACAAATACTACGGCAAGTATGCTACCATGCGTCTGCTGCCACTCCTACTCTTACCCCTGCCACCACCACCACCACTACTTTTTCTGCTGATGCTGCTCTTCACCGCCCTGCTGCTTGCCTTCAGGCAGACAAAGTCAGGCTTCCATATATGTCGGCTTGGACATGCACATGGCAGCAAACGGCGACAGCAATTCGACTTGAAAGGCTACAACTCTTCAACATCAGGCCGATTGAGAGAGGCATGTGGCATTCGAGGTCAGACGAGTTTAACGTCACTTTCCACATGCTCCTGCTCTGATGCGGTCGCAGTTGCGGATGCCAATAGAGCCAGGCACCTCAATGATGCAGAACACATTAGCGCAGATTTCAAAGCATGACGACCATGCTTAACCCTCAAGTTCACAAGTGTGAACTCTGCAAGAAAGGGACGCAACAGGCTGAGCGCCGGTTGCTGCATCCAGGGCATGCCGGCGCTGGCAGCAACACAAGATTCCTAGGTAGCGAAGCACTTAAGGCTGGCATGGGGCACATGCATGCAGGGAACGGAAGCTTTGGTGCGGCCGCTCGCCAAGCGTCAGCCAGAGACAAACCAAATTCTTGAACGAAACTGCGCAGTACAAGGCGTGGTTCAGGATCTTCTCCTCTCCACCACAGACGATGCATAAAACCCTTCAAAAGACCATGCTGCGCTCTCTGCCGGACGCAGACCTCCAGCTTGATCGATCCAAGCCAGAAAGGTGCTGCTGGCCTTGGGCATCGAAAACTGTCCTTCAAAATAGCAAACACTGCAACACTGCAGCTGAAGGGCCCAGAATGCACGGACACCTGAGGCGCTGCAGCGAAACTGCTGTATCCCAGCAGAGTGTCCCCTTCTTACCAGCATGACACTAGAATGTCACTGGCCTGAGTGGGTTTCAACGTCTGAGCGCAGTAGAGGCTGCGAAAGCAGAACTGCCCCACCGAGCAGTTCTACCTCTGACAGGTTGAAGGTGCCCTTGCACATGCACTCCCAAAGTCGACCCCTACCAGCCTGCAAAGACGTGAGCTTGCATTTATCCACGGACACACGCAAGCGCTCACGTCCACGCTCGGATGTGAATCGAACCACATCGAACAACCTCAAACACCGACCGACATGAATAGAGGCGCGATGTTACACTGAAAACTTGCAGCTCTTGGGAAACGATGTATAGATTCGACATCTCAAGTGAGCTGGGCAGCCACGTTCGGAGGCTCTGGCATCTGCTCCTGCTACCCTCGGCAAAGACAAGTCTGCGATGCATGTGGACGACAGCTCTGGAAATGGCGCTGAGACCTGAGACTTCCTCAGACACTCGGAGTCGCACGTTCTCGTCAAGGGCCAGGAAGCTTGCCACAACCCGACTCTCCTCCTGAAGCCCCGGGTCAGCACAGCGGTCTCCGCTCCTGTGCTGCCTTCTTTGCAGCCCTGGCAACTTACACATGCATCTCCTCGAAAGTCGCAGGAGATGCGTCTTCACTGGCAATGATGTGCAACCTGAGGATTTACACTGTACAGTGGGAGCAAGCGCCCTGAGATCCACTCAAAGTATCGCCCAAGACATCCCAAGACAAAGACATGCCTCCCGAAGCTGCTAGATTGCTCCCATTGGAGTAGCTGCGTCCACTTGTACACTGAGTTGGGGCAAGTTGCAGCCACTGAACTGCAGAGCCACTGAGAGGCCAGGGGTCCACCATCCTTCGATACACCATGACTGGATTTGCACACACGGACGAAGCCAATGTTGAAAACGAGGAGCAAGGACCGCAGTGAATCCAGAACAGCACCGGTCATCGCAGTTCTGTGCACCGTTTCCTGGCTCACACATCCAACGTGATGAACGAAATGTCTCGGAGTTAGATCCTCTCATTTCTAGGCTTTGCGGCCTCGAGATGCAGAGGCTGCAGCGATTCTTCCTGCAGACAGAGTACAACACGCACGTTTGCTTCTACTTGCGCTGTGAAGCTCCGGGGAATAAGGTTGGAGATCCATGTAAGCCACTACTTTCACGCAGCCTTCAGCTCGCAAATTCACCTTAGAACACTTACATGAGATCTGGGTCTTGTCACCAATCAGGCCATGCTGAATCCAAGGTTGCGGTCACCAACAAAGCTACATGTATCGCTGAACACCGCTTCAGACCAGACCATCGTTCAACAGCGAACGGAGGCATGAATCAATCTAAAGGCTGCATCTTAGACTCTTCAACCAGGGATTACCATGTATTTCGAGCGAAACTTCAACCAGCGAAACTTCAACCAACTGATTGAAATCTTCTTGCTCTCATGAACCACCTGCCACTGCTATAACTTCCAATGATGCCCCTCCTGCTGGTTGTCCTCTTTCGTTCCACGGAGAACGAAGACCACAGGCTGAAACGGTGGAACGGAACTCATGACCTGCCAAATTGCGAACATGAGTCCTGGCCCTAGCCCTCAAGATCGCTCAAGTCATCCGTTAGATGACATTCATGCAGTTCTTCCTGCAGAGCATGTCGTGTCTGCAAAGTAGACGGCTGTAAAGCAACCACTGGCTACTTGTAGCACAAGCGGTAACGACGCCTCCGAGTTCAAAGGGCATGCAGTTCTTCGCGGCTTCAGGCTTTATTACAGTACAGCCCAGCTGTATCAGTATTAGCAACGATCTTCAACATCGCACAACGAGGCGAGTAGCCGAAGGTCATGCACCCGGCCCGAGCAGGGACAGATTGGCATGCTCTCTCAGGCAAAGAGCCATGGATCGCAGGGTCTGCATCAGCTCCACCAGGGACAGCCGCATCAGCTGCTGCTCCTCGTTTCGCATTCATGTGATCGGCCCTCGGCTCACTGGCTCCATGCCTTGGGTGGAATCTCACGAGCTTGGCGAGCAGTCTTCCGCCGCTTGGCCCGCGCAGCGTTGAGAGACACAAAGTCTGCCTCACAAACGTTCTTATCAAGCCATCGCTGTCACAAAGACATAAGAGAAAGAGGAGGCGTCGGAAGAAAAGACAGCCGACTCACGCGCCTCTTTGGACGAATCTCCTCTGCTCTGGTACCAGGGTTGCTGAAACCGCCGCTTCCTGATTGAAGCCGAGAGCGACGCTTGACACAGCGGAGATCTCGTGTATCGTCTGGGGCTCGGACAGCCGAATAAGAAGCCACTCCTCCTCCTCCGAGACACCCTCGCTGTTCTTCAGTCGGGTAAGGACGTCCCGACACCTGTGACTCCGCCGCCGTGTGCATTCCCGTCAGAGAACTTAAAAATGTGCCGCAAGGCCTCTCCATGTCACCAGATCGCAAGAGCGATTGGGCAAGCTTTCTCAAAGACCTCTCTGGGATGTATCTAACTTCTATGCTCGGGGATGCACCACGGGCTTTTTGCTGTAGACGCAAATCAAGAGGTCATTTTTCGGCACATGCAAGACTCGGTGCTTCCAGGATGCACAGTATCAGCAGGCTCCAGACGAAGACATCGGCACAAGGCCTGCAGCATTTGCCAAACTCAACACGGTTTTGAAACCAGGAAACCAGCGAGGCGACAGAGCTGAGATGCCCCGCTTTGCCTGTGTGGCCGCCGGCCAGTCTTCGGCCTTCATCGCGCAGTTTGCCAAGCGTCGCAGCAACGGCATTCGTACATCTGCAGAGCGATGCTCCTGCGAATCGCATGCACCATAGAGTCTTGAAGCGGTAGATCAGGCTGTGACCGCTGCATCTTGAGGGCTAGAGTCAAATCTTGAGTTGCACAACATTGCACAGTTACCGCATGCTTGCCATTTCCCCTCCCCTATCCTCTTGGACTAACATGCTTTGGACCAACTTTGGACATCAGCCGTCAGCTCCTTGGTGACGTCTCTCACGGCATGTTGTAGGCTTGCCAGCGCCTGTCAGCGGGCTTTCGCATGAGCCACCGATGTAAAAAGCGTCATGATGCGTCATGCAGTCACATAGTGTGACTGTGCGCTTCTTGCGAGGAAGCACATTCGAAAAAAACTAGCTTCTAGATTCCAGCAAAAGTCACAGGGACTGCTCAGTGCTGTGGCGCCACTTGACATGCATAGCAAAGGCTTGGTCCCGTGCCTTCTTGTACTGCCCGAGCTGCTCTTCAGCTTCGGCCAGATTTTGCCAGCATAGAGCTTTAAAGCTACGAATCCAGAATCGATCACCTGGGCAGCCGCCGACACTCTCCACCCCTCTGCACCCGCATACTTGTGCTTGCCAGCAAAAGGGGCCCCAGCGGGCACCGCTGCTGTCAACAGCAAGGAGGTGTTTCAGGCGTTGCTTCGCTTCCAGTGCCTTTCCCGCCACGCTGCATTCTTTGCATCTCTTGCGCGGCTGTGCCCAGAGCCTTGCCCTCGGAGATGGACTTCAACGCTTCCTTCGGGCAATTCGCGCTTACCAGACCCTGCAGTCAGCCCGATTCGTTCGGGCCTCGTAGCTGTTTCTCAGCTGAGCTCTGTCGATTCCATCTTCGGCTCCAGGCACCTCGTCGGAAACCAGACATGAACACGTTGCGCTTTGCGAACTCCACTTCGGTGAGTCTCTGAGAGCAGCTGGTCACTCCTCGTCATGTGCAGCGCCGAACTGCGCAAACTTCAGCATCGCTGAAACCTCAAGCCCGAGCCCAGGCTGCCGTACAAGTGACTCCCAAAAACGTGGCACAACGCAAGTCGAGCAAAGACCGCAGGGCTCCAGTCATCAACATACTGCAGGCTGCAGTTCTGCCTTGTTCTGAGTCGAGTGACATTGCACCTTTGCACGACCCTTTGTCCGTCCAATCTCCAGGCTGCCGTGTGTTGCACGGCATTGCACTGCGGCGCCGCAAGCTGCTATTTTCACATGGTCTTGTTCAACTGCTCCGTATGTATCTGCATGTGAGGGTCCGTGGCAATAGTGCACTCTCCTCCTGGCTTTGGTGTTTCAACCTGCAGCGACTGGTGTCGCCTTCTGTGACATTGCAAAGGCCCGAACAACATGATGAACTCTCAGCAGGATTATATCTTGGCTGCTAAAATTGCAAAAAGCTGCGAGCATGCAACTTCACGTTAGTTAGTTGGCACGATGCTTAGTGAAAACGAAGGCACGGGATTCATAAGTCTTGTTGAGCTCACTCAGCGCATTTTTTTGTTTCTCACAAGCGGCAAGTCGTTCACGGTCACTCCGCCTGGCAAACCAAGCCGTTTGAAATAGACTCGCCTTCTAACACCGAAATGCCCTCCGCTCGCTGTGCCTGTCGTGGAGTTGCAGCACCTGCCGGCCTTCACGTGACGAAAACGATTGACAAGACCGCACCCGGCCTAGGCCTAGGTCCCAAATTTAGCCACTGTGCATGAAGCCCATCCGCATACAATGCCTTCAATACACAGACAGACCCGGGCCGTGCGAAGGCGTGGCTGCAGGACTCGGCTACTTGAGGCGCCAGCTGATCAGCCCCCACTGGCTTCGCGTCCACGTCAAGGGTATGCTGAGAGGCCGTTGACTTGTCTGGGCGGCTGTGAGGACTCCGGCTCCCTCCCCAGCCTCGTCAAAAGTAGCGAAGTCTTCCAGGCCCGGTGCGTTTTGCTCAGAGGCCTTGCACTGCCAAAGAGCGCAAGACAGCTCTTGTCCAGCTCTTGCTCGGCTCGTGGCGCCAAGCACGGTAGGGCTTTGACCTGCCGACGCCTGTGCCAGAATTCCACCTCTACTGGTTTGGCTGAGCCATGCAGCCCTGCCTTCTCTGGCTCTTCCGCTGCACCTTGTCGATTGACGCTGACGATTTCATTTTGGATAAAACCGAGGGCAAATCCAGCCCGCCACAGCAGCAAAGCGGTCGCTCACTCCCAAATTGCCAAAAAAAACCATGCAACCGACTTCTGCAGGGCGGCCCAGGCTGCCAAGCGGCATGTCGCAGCGGGGTCGGGCCAGGTGTCCTCCTCCTGGCGAGACGAGGCCATTGCACGGGCAGGTGTGAAGATGCCACCATTGGACAGGCATGACAAAATTCTGCGTCCTGCGGCAGGACTTCGTATTGAAGTGATGCCAAGGAGTCTACTGCCACAGACTGGTTCTTCAGCCTCGCCTCACACTCTCGTCTTGTTCTCTACAAGTCTGGACTGGCTGGGCGTCAGCTTACAATAAAGGAAAACTCACTTGAAATACTGAAGATCTCTTAGACAAGTTGCGTAGATGAACATTCCAGCCAGGGCCTCGGCGACTTGGCGAGAGTATAGGGAAGTAAGTGTGTGTGTGTGTGTGTTACCCGACTCAGTGGTTTCGGGACCTGATGCTTTGACAAGAGCCAGGGCAGCCAGGGAAGTGGGACACAAATCGAACTGTCGCTGGATCTACTTCTGATCTGGAAACGTCCGAGTCTCTAGGAGCAGTCCGCTCCACTGCAGGGCCGTCGTCTTCTCGCCGAAGACGAAGATGGAAAAGAGGATCGTCACCTAGGTTTTCGGACAGTGTCGACTTCACCAGCCGCAGCCAGCTGAGCTCGTTGCGATGGACTTGAGATTGCCGAAAACTGCCAATGTCAACGAAGACCTCGGAATTATCGCTTTGAGCCAGTGACACATCACACAGATTGACACTGACGCCTTGCGACAAAGACTGGATGAGCCCGGGCATCGCAGCTCCAGTCTCTCGCATCTGAGCGAGCGGCGTGACTTTCACGAGGTGCACCTCTTCAAAGCAAATCTCCCGGAGCAATGTGCCTCCCGAGGGGCCTCGACGAGGAGGAGGAGGAAGGCAAGGAAACCTGGCAGCAGTACCTTGCATCTGCTGATGTCTGCTGTGCTCTGGGTCTCTTGCAGGGGAGCGCTTCCACATTGAAAAACGACATCAGGTCCAGCCAGGAATTCCTTTTCCTGCTCCAGCCGTTGAATCCGCAAAGAACGAGCCAGATGCAGGCAGATCGGCAGGATCGAAGGCGTGCGCTCAAGAAAGAGCTTGCAAGACAGCGCTGCAGGCAAGAGTTCGCTGTCACCTAGTTTCGGCCAGCTTCGTGCAGCTTCTCGGATTCGGGACTCGGACAGTGCCCTGTTTAGCAGAGCGTCATCGCCGTGCAGCACACTGTCCCCGACCGTCTGGCCAAATGTCTTCGATGGTCAGGGACACTCGGTGATGTACCGGGAGAAGGTCGACAAAAGTTTTCCGGTAGAGTGGGGTTGGGAAGTCCACAGTTTGAGACTGTAAAGTAACCCATGTGCTGCGATTCAGTGAGCCTTCCAGTGTCCACTGCACAGCATCTCGGGGGCAAAGGCCATCGTAGTCGCAGGTGCGCCCATCATGTTTCCCGAAATTTCGATCTCCTGGCTCCCTTGCCGTGGCCCAGCGGAATGCGTCGATTTCGGTTTCAACACCAAAATCGAACTCCAGCTGAGTGCCAATCAGTTCAGCTACTGATGAGTTGAGATTACTATCTAGAGCCCTCGCATGCGCAACGCTTGAGACGAACGCAACACCCTGCGGTACAGAGAGCTCCTCCCACACACCGCCATACGCGCGTGTTCCGGCATTGAACGTTGTTATTCTTGTCCAGTTGCCTGCACTATGGCCTTCAAGCGCAAGACTAAAAGAGGCATACTCCTGATCCTTGTCTTGAAGAATTCGCACACACTTGGCTGTTGTTGCAGAAGAGAAGTTAAGGCCTATCCACTGCGTGCCCGCACGGCATGGGTTTCGACAGTCTGCCCACCAGTTGGTCGTGACATTGCCATCAAATGCATATGCAGCAGGCCCATGCAAATCAAATGTCATCGGATCTGCAAATGGCCGGGACTGCCAATATGTCCGAGATGTGTCATGTGCACCCATTGGTGCTGTGTGATCGATGGAATGTCCAAATCCACGAGGAAGGCTCGAGGAAGCTATAGCTGTACCATTCGTGAGAGGAACCGTACAGTTTGTATCATTATAGAACTCCAACTCCCAAACCCCCCATGTCTGAGGAACATCCATGGCATTCACGATCCTGTAGGCATCGTAGTGCGCATCAGGTGCCTTCTGCGTCGTGATGGGCTGGCCATGCCTCCAGAACTCGATTTCAGCAATCTGAAAGATGGGAAAGGTGCAGTATGTCGCGCCCATGCCATCTGGGATGCAATATCCGGACCTGCATTCAGTGTAGTCCAAACAGAAGCAGCCGTCTGGCTTCAAAGCATCGGAGCAAGTAAAGCTGTCGGTCGCCGCATAGCCACGAGCCTTTGTCGCAGTCCAGCGGTAGTACCGATAGTTTGGCACCTGGCACCAGACCTCTTCAGGAACGATAGCAGGGTACTGCGCACCAGTTGGGCGCAACAGGAAGAGCGCCTTCCACATGGGGAGCTGACGCTACGGCTTTGCCACAGGTTGGGAAGTGTCTTCGCTCAAGAGCATGGCTGTCGATCTTCAAGCCCTTCATTTCTGAATTCTGAAGCCCAAACAGACATGGAGGTGTACCATAAGATTGCAAGACACGGGCAGAAAAAGCCATGAGCCGAAAGCAGTGCTCCAACAGAGAGAGACGGAGATTGTCTAGACTAACAAGGCACCGTCTGGGCTCGCATTGTGGAGCGATGAGCATGCGTCATAGGAAACAGGGTTAAGCTTCGTGATTAGGTAGGGTGCAGCCGCCTGCAAATGCTAATCTCCAGAACTGAAAGACTCGTGCGGACCATTGAATCGAAACTGCGTCGAGTCCAAAGCTTGAGTGTTGGAACTTCAACGCTTGGCCTCCTATCACTAGAAAGATCCACACATCGCAAGGTGCGGAGGCTGGACTAGACAGAGCTCGCAGAGGCCGGGACACCATCACTTTCAAGACCACCCCATATTTGGCAATGAAACACCGGACGTTGGAATCCCAGGCAAATCTCGCTCAAAGCTTTAATGCGCCAGAGTTGCAAGGAGGAAGTACTGGCCAGCCGCATCGGGCTCTGCCAAAACATGCAGCTTGTCCCTCTCTCCTCACAGACGCATCGCATGATGCACTACGCGGCTAAGGTTGCAAAAAAAAGAACTACAGTCCGATATGCAGATCAACGCATCGGAGCATCGTGCCCACACGAAAGGCGCTAGCGTCAGTGACGATGCAGGTGACCTCAGATCACATCGACACAATACTCCTACTAAGATATGTACTAGTATGTTACTATATCCTTACTATGACAAGCACATTCACCCATCCCTGGCCAACTGTTGCCAGCTGAGTCTCATGTAGAAAACCGTTTGCATAGCCTTTGCAGCTGGCACCATCAAGGAAACACTGGCAAAGGTAGTCCGCGAGGCTCTCCTGCTGAACTCGTGCCGGGCAGCAGATAAGCCGCTGGATTGTAGGGTCTTCTGCGTCGCAAGCCAGCGCAAGGCAGCGAAGACCTCGGAGCCTGAGCTTCTCGCGTCGGAATGCGGAGATTCACAGCTGCGGCAGCTACGGCTGGCGGCAAAGGCACCGAGCACCAGCCAGAAGCCCCGGATGTCAAAGTCTGTCTCCCCATAGGATGTAATGAAGATTCCGATTGAAATCCTAGGCAAAAGAGCAACTTCTCACGCCTGAGGCAAGAATAGACAAGATGGGTCGCTGCCGGGGCTCCTACAGAACGACCGTGGCTGCAATTCCGGCAGAGCCTGATGCCAGCGTATCGGAAGAGATTCTTTGCTTGATGACATCACAGAAGAAATCGAAGAGACGAGACTACATCAATAAAGATGCTGCTTACCTGAACTACGGCTAACTACGGCTGGCATCTGAGGTCTGAGAACCTGACATTGCTCGATGCGCAGAACTGCACCAAAGACCTGAAAAGCTATGATGCTGGACCCTTTTTGCGTAGGGGCACTTCAAGGAACCGAGGTCTTGGCCAGGATGAAGATCAACGAGGCAGACCTGCCAGGAATTGGGCAAGGCTGGCATTGCATCGTCGTTCGACTATACGGGTTTACGCCCAAGTGTGGGAAGAACATCAACAAACCGTCTTTACGACCTTTTCAGACCCGGGAGCGGGCCAACCTTCGACCCGCTAGAGGCCATGCAGGAAAACGCATCCAAGATGCTTCAACATCGTATAGAAGGCAACAGTGATGAACTGAAAGCCTGATACAGCCAGTGGCATCACACTGTCACGCGGCAAACGAGAAACGAAGAGTTGGACAAAATGAGGTTGGCACTCATGTTGGATGCTGCCACATCCAGTGCCGTCATGACGCCGACTAGGGACACCCCGCAGCAAACCGACCGCCTCAGATTCCGAAGGTTCGCTTAAATCGTGATACAGTGGCCGTGCCAGATCGCCTCTGCTTGCCGGGAGGATGACAGCTCATCACCAAGTAAAGAAAGGAGAAGAAACCTTTCAACACCATGTGACCTGGTTTGGGGATTCGCAGGCAGTCACGTGTTCACGTAATCATCCCGGTGTGCAGCTGATCTTGAGGGGCCGGCTCATGGTGTAGAAGAGTGGAAAGTTGAGGCCGCCTCTCCAAATTTTCCGCAACCCACCCAGCCTCCGGAAATGGCAGAGCTAAGCCAGGACCCTTTCCAGCCTCTCCAAGACTTCATGACCCATTTGTTCAGCAGCACCAGAGTAATTGATACACCTGAGCTGGAGCTTGAATGAAGGCCTGCAGCTCAGAGCACCTCACAGCTGCTTCCAGGTTGCTGTACCATCCTTGGAGCAAGGAAGCGGTCCAAACCCAATTCTAATGATTCTAAATGATTCTAATATATTAAAATAACTGTAACAGCTTCTCCAGGCACTCACATTTGCATCTGCAGCGTGTTCTTGTCTTGCTCTGCGGGACCTTCGGGCCTGGCCTCTACCTGTGTGCCGTTGGCTCGGTCGTTTCGGGATAGTAGGGAGTGAAAGAACAACACCACTGAAAGATCACAAGACATCTAGCTTGCTGCTGCTGCTGCTGCTGCTGCTGACAACATCGGCGGCACAAGTTCGTTTGCGAGTACTGTTGCGACTTTCTTTCAATTAAGTCCATCTGGAAGACGACTACTTTCCTTCCTTTCTTTCTGTTATGATGTCGTGAACACCAAACCCTAAACCCTTAACTCGAAAGCCCTGAAAGAAAGCGCCTAAGGTCCCTTACTTGCCCATTCGGCCAGGTCTCCCAAAACCAAGCTGCAGATCAGAAGCGCCGCTGCGGCCCGTGAGTCCGGCCTGGCACGCTTCACCAATCTGCGTGTGCCTTCGCCTCAGGGACGAAGACACTCCTAGAGCTTTTCGGAGCTTTAGGGCCCTTTTGGACTTTAGGGCTTTGGGGGAGAGGAGAGGCCCGTTGCGCTCGCCGAGGGGCTAAAGCACACAAGAGTGAGGAAGAACAGAAGCTCTTCCAGAATGGAAACAATATCGGGACTCATGGGCGCACATGATGGCACCCTGACTGCAGAAAGTATTGAATGTCTAGGCTCGACCGAGTGAATGCTTTTAATTCGCGTGCCAAGTCCGGGTCCAACATTGATGATGCAGGGGAGGGTTGCGTTGGCCGGCTCCCGTAAATGATTGCTGACTGTCCTTCTGTTTCATAGGTGTGGAAGGTCCATGTACATGTGTGCTTTCAATGTGCTTGAGCCTTGCTGGACCGCTTAAAGTCAAGAAAGGCTGAGAACCGTGAAAACGGAGGATGCTGGAGATGACCCCTACCAGCAGTGTTTTTGTCGTAGCAAGCCTCGCCACGGCCATCGGCCAGTGGCATAGCAGACTCGAAACAATGCTTGACAATCAGGCATATAATGCTTGCATTTGTCTCAAAATCGACACACTTTCGTGCATGGCATCTGCGGGCTCTGCCACAGCTCTGTACAGGCGGAGCCGAAGCTGTCCAAGGCATTGCAGCGTATTGCGGTCCCAGGCTGCCCAGCGTCAATGGCGCCAGGTGGCACGCAAGAGTCTGAGTGCGCAGTAGAATCTTGCAGCCGGTCGCGAGCCAATGCGAGCCACGGGCCCAGCATCATCAACCTGACCGACCAAGGACTCGACCCGAGTAGACTGAGTAGGCGGGGTTCTGAAGCCACAAGTGCACTGGACTCGTTGGTCCGTTGCAGCGCATGGACTCGGACAGGTTCGCGGGCTTGGCAGTCAACCTGAGTCGTCGCCCCCCCCCACACCACGGATATCCACGGATGTTGGTCTTGTGCTCTTCCTTGTGCCTTGTGCCCTCCGTCCCAGCATGCTCTGCTACAGGCATCAGCTCGGGCATGCCACCCGAGGAAGAAGAGGATCGCACGTCAGTTGCGCCAATGTCACTAGCGGACTTGACAGCGTGGCCGGCCACAGAAGCTCGTCCAGGCCTCCCACAATCAGCAAGGCCCGCGAAGCAACAACACACTTCTGCCAAGCGAGTGGTCTGACTCACCGAGCTCCGCGCATTGTCGAAGGCAACTTCCAGTCCAATCTTGGGGCCTAATCACCATAGGACCACAGTGACAAAGCGTGTAGAATTGCAAAGCCTCCTATGTCCGAGGACTTGCATGATGACACGAAAACAAGGTTTGCTGCGAGAGGCTGCGATGTACTGGGGCCCCGGCACCGGTGCTTGAACTGACAGAAGACAGCCAGGCATGACCTTTGAGCAGCCAAAGCTTGGTTACCACGAGTTGCCGACAATCGCTTGAGCGACTGGCACACAGGGATACCTGGGTCAAGGCGGTGGGAGGCGTGAAGGTTTATTCCAGCTGGGAACTTGGTGTTCTCAGCACCAGACTGCGAGACGTAAACTTGGGCTGCGCCCTGCCAGGGAAAGCTGTCTAAGATCTTCAAGCATGATGCATCCCTTTCTGTTTGCTTAGACTGGACTCTTCATTGTCTGCGCAGTGCTCGCCTCGCACTTCTTCAGAAAATCGCGAAGCGACTGGTCACTAAGCTCCTGCTCTGGAAAAAGTGCTTGCTTGTCAGCAGACTCCACTTGAGCATTGTCCTCCAAGGTCTCGTCTGCCTCTCGAGTGAAGCTCGAACGATGCTCTGTCAAGTCTGCATTAGCGAGGCAAGACGTCTCGCCCACAGCTCAAATCTTCGATACAGCATGATACAGTAGTGAGCTGGCAATCGGAGGCTGCGGCTAGCCTCAGCCTGGGCCATCGCGTGCATGAGCTCCAGAAGCGCTAAGCGCTCGGGATGCGTGTCACGGCGCAGATGTTGGCGAAGCGGGGCCAAGAGATCCTGACATCGGGCCGCTCCATGCAGCTCTCCATGACTGACTTGATTGACTTGACTGCAGACTGAATCGAATAAAGGCCAAGTGGACTCTCCTCGATGGTCTTGGGCACTGCTGCTGGCGCTGCACCTCGTGCTTGTGCTCGTTGTGAAGCAGCCTTAGACAAAGCGATGCCAAGCGGGCACAACCCACGAAACAAGATATGCCCAAGCTGGTGGCGTGGTAGACTTTACCTTGGCTGCAATCGTTAGATGCCCGTGTGGCTCCCTGCCTCCACCACTGTCTTCTTCGGTCACGGGACTTGCGATACTGAACCATTCGTTCCTGCACGTCCCTCCGACACTGGAGGAGGAGTCGACTTGTAACATTGTACAATGGGCACAGGCGACGAGACACCTAGTCGCAGCCAAGATGCCGCTGTTCCGCCACGTATGATCAAAGCAGGTCACATCCCAAGACACGTGCGCGACCACTGTATCCTGACACATAACCACACAATGCTATGACCTGTAGCTGTAGCCGTCGCGCATGCTGGATAGGTCGCTTCCAACTAGCTGGAAAACACCTACTAGTAGAGCATTCCTGGGCTTCAGACAGTAGCTGGAATTTGCCAGTTGCCGCCCAGAGCTGCTCTGCACCTCGGCTAACAAGGCAAGGAGTCAGGAGATGCAGCTAAAGCCGCAGATCTGTTCACTCACCGACTGTGTGCAAGTGGGCGCCCGAACTGCCTGCGTGCGTCGTCCACCCAGCGAGCTGCAGCCTTACTAAAACCCGGCGACGTTTCTAGCTCTGAGCATGGAAAACAGTCCGAGGGCTGCACGGCTGCCTCTGGCCTTGCCAAAATCTGATGCGACTAAGGCAATCGCTGATCTCTGAATTTTCTGCTCCTGCAAGTATCGCTTGTGGATACATTCGATGTCAATACCGATGTCAATACCATCAAAGACGGGAGGATGTCGCGCAGGGGTCGGTTCGAAGTCGCTGAAGCAGGTGCTCGACAGTGTCCTCCATCAGACGAGCCGTGAGGCTGCCAATGCTCGAAGTACCAAGAACCGGTCCGTCGGTGTCCGGCAGCCGAGTCGCGAGAAAAGCATGCGCCACCTTGGCATCTCCCTGATTCAACAAGATGGCTGCCTGCAAACAAACGGCCAGCTTGTCTACGATATGCCTGGCATGCTGCTCTAAGGACGACGGGTCAGATGCCAGGTCTTGCTGCAACCCTTGGAGAACACTCGCGTACGAGTTTGGAGCGTGGCTCTTGGCAGCTTCTGCTGCAGCCAGGGCCGACTGAAGCTCTCCCATCAAAGCTGTTGAGCTTTCGGGCTCACGACGCAGAGCCCGAAGAACATCTAAGCAAATAATGTTACCGGAGCCTTCCCAGATAGCATTAAGAGGTGATTGACGGAAAAGACGAGCGATCGGCCCCTCCTCTACATAGCCGTTCCCACCGTGGCACTCCATTGCCTCATAAGCCACGAGGGGAGCCCGCTTGCAAACGAAATACTTAGCGACCGCCACTGCAATGCGGACAAAAGGTCCTTCCTTCTGGTCCAGGCCGCGTGCCAGGCGCAACCAGGTTGCCAGAGCAGCTTCTGACTCAATGGCGAGATCTGCCAACACGCGGCGCATCAGGGGCTGGTCCAGCAGACGGCGCCCGAAAGCCTTCCGCTCCGAGGCATGGTGAAAAGCAAGCTGTGCGCTTAGCCTCATGAGTGCCGAGCTACCGATGACACAATCCAGGCGTGTGTGCACAACCATCTCTACAATCGTTCGCACGCCACGGCCCTGTGCGCCAAGAAGCAAGCCCCATGCATTCCGATACTCAACCTCGCTGGAGGCATTGGACTTGTCACCGATCTTCTCCTTCAGTCGCTGCACAGTGAAACCTGCATTGCGATTCCCATCTGGTAGCCACCGAGGGACGATGAAGCATGAAACTCCATGCATCGTTTGGGCGAGGGTCAAGAAGGCATCGCTCATGGGAGCAGAGGTAAACCACTTGTGTCCCACCAGCCAGAATCCGTGCCCGGGGCTCTGCCGCATCCCGTTCACAGGCTGTGCCTCCGTCATATTCGAACGCACATCGGAACCACCCTGCTTTTCTGTCATTGACATTCCGACAGTGGCTCCGGGCTTGGACGGCAGAGGAGCATCCTTCCCGGAATACTTACATGAGATGAGTTTCTCGATCAGATTGGCGACATACCCGTCCGGGTCATGAGATCCTTGCTGTTGAAGCAGAGCAGGGACAGCAGCAAATGACATTGTTAACGGGCAGCACACGCCCGGATCAAGCTGGTACATGAGATACATCAGAGCTGCACGGATAACGTGGGCACCGGATTTCCCGCAGTTCTCGGGCTGCCAAGCAAAAGCGGAGACTCCCGAGGTGATGCCCAGGTCCATGAGCAGGTGGTAGCTAGGATGAAACTCCGCTGCGTCCCTCCGGTTCCCGAAGCGATCGTGCGTCTCCAGCCGTGGTGGATGACGGTTGGCCTTCAAACTTTGGCAGCTCTTACCCTTTGATGCAAGTTGGGCCACTGCTACAGTCCCTGAATTACCTCCCCTAGCTAAGGCCTCCTGCCTCGGAAGCTCTCGCTTGCCACTCCTCGCTCCCCACAGCTTCCCCGAGTTGCTGCAGGCGGGCCTCGCCCCATGCGCCCCCGTGTGCAATGACTCCAGCTCTCAGTGCCACGTCGCAGCTGAAGGCGTTGTAGGCGCAAAGCGGCCGCACCTGATTCAGAACCTGATGGGTGGGATGCCCTGGGACCGGAGCTTCTGGTTTCATAGGCCCGGCCATGCTGCCGCCATCGGAATGAAAGGCTTGCATGGCTTGCTTCCGTGCAGGCTCGATGGAGTCGACATGACTAGCACTGCCACTTCTATGCTACCTGTAGCTGCGTGGCTATGCGTAGCTATGCGTAGCTATGCGTAGCTATGCGTAGCTATGCGTAGCTGCTTGCTCCGGCGAGGCCCCTGCCTTGCAGCCTTCGGAAGAGGAAGAAACACTTCGACAGAGTATCTGGCAGAGCTGAACTTGAGCCCGGCTTCATTTGTTCGCTGTGGGTATCTCAGGACAGCCGTCCAGTTAGCAGGTGCGGCAGTGAGTTCAGTCAGAAACTCAAGAGCCTAAATTGAACCAAAGTCAGCCGAACTGTGCTTTACTATTTATAAGTTATGCCCTCCGCAGCCGGTACGAGCCTCAACTGCGTGTAACATGAACCTAGAAGCGCCCGTCGTAACTGGTCCCAGTAACCTTTCGAAGCAGAAGTCCCAACACCGAGACATCAAACCCAAAATGCTTCGGGCCTGGGGTTAACATCTCAAAACGACGCGAGCTTTCGGGCGGATGAAATTGCTTGCCCTCATGGTGATGCGCAGATCCCGGCAAGAGCCAATCTGAGCTTCGTGCTGCTGATTTGTTCTGGGCGTGGGCTCCTTCGCCATGAGCCTGCAGAAAGCTGTCCACAGAAGCTTTCAGGGACTGCTGGCGACACCCGTGCAGCTGCTAAACTCAAGCCCACACCCCAGTCGTCGCAGAGCTTCTTTGGAGTACTGCTCACCAAGATGTGGAACGCCTGCTCTCACCGCGGCAATGAAAACTCAATGAAGCTATGTTTGTGGCAGCACAGCAACCTCCGAAAACGCTCGTGTCGATGGAGGCATCGTCGAGGACCTGTTATCCAGCGGCGGCTCTCCCAGAATGGCTCCTGCTCAAAGGTCTATCGGCCTGCTGCACCCGTGAAAGGGCTCCTTCTCCTCCCTGCTGCGTGTGAAGTAACTCCTCATGGGCCAAAGGATATACGGGATATATGATATATACGGAGATCTGCAGGCGTCGGGAAGATAAAACATGTCCCCTTATTCTTGCAGCTATATGACCACTGCCTCGAGCAACTTCTCCAGATGCAGCCGTCGAAAACGCACCTGCAGAGCTGCCGGGGTCTTTACGAAACATTTCTGAAGCTGTCCCACTTTGCTTCCTTGAATCTTTATCCCACCATTTATCCGTGCGGCTGGGGGCCGTGCTTCCAGCTCTTTCAGCACGTCTGACTGGGCCTGCGCGCCTTCCTGGAGCTGCTCCCAGAAGAACATTGACATGCAAGACACAAGACACAAGAGCTGTCTACGGCGTCGTGCATGGATGTCCTGCGACACAGCTTTGGCGACGTTGGCAAAGTCGGTCCAGCTAGCACCGTCACCAAGGCCAGCTTTGCCTGGGAGAGGCTCAAGGAGCACGTGGTGGGTTTGTGGTTCGAGAGCGTTTTAACGAAGGCTCAGAACGGCACGGCAGAAGAGACTTCCCGAGGCGGCGAGAAAGTCCTGCTCGAAAAGTATCGATTGCCCTGACGGGCGTCGCTGTCAATAAGCAACCGGTGAAGCCCGCACGGCTTACGTACTTTTCGGTCACATGACATCCAGGGCTCCATAAGTAGCTTCAGCAGCATCGCGGCATCGTCTTCAGCTTCGTCGTCTGCTGCTGGCCTTTCCAGTTGCAGAAACGGCGCCGTCCGTTGTCTAGATGATTGATCAATCGCAAGAAGAGCAGTCAAGCACGAGACGCCAAATCGTGCAATGAACCCTTCGACCCCAGACTTTGGGGGGACTTGAATTTCATGGATTAGGCCTGCGGATACAGTTTTCAGATTACATTTACAAGCCTCGAGACTTGGTGAAGTCCGGGAAACTACAGTCAAAGGTACCATGAAGCATCGTCGAACCTACAACGTGCGGAGTCCCGTCCGAACAAGCGCATTCTCCAGGATTTCAAGATTGGCCCCAACCCGTTCAACCTGTGCTGTCCTCGCCTTTCCCCAGCCACCCTAGCCTTCCAGTTCAAGACATGTCGCGCATGACAGTCACAGATTTTCAAGCAAGATCCACTGATTTTCCAAGTTGATGCCACAGACTGGAAAAGCCAAAAAGGTTCTCAGAAGTTGATTCTCCAACTGTGACAATGCTGGTATATGATGGTATCACACCATCTTGAACCTTTGTCACGTCTGTGCAGCCCGGTGTGTGCACTAAGGTGCTGGCCTTCGCCAACGGAGCAATGTATGCAAACCGAAAGCCACGTTTGCCATTTCCTCGAGCTCGCAGGCTCTCCAAAAGCTGGTTCATGTGCGGCTCTGACACGCCCTCTCCTGAACGGTCAGCTCGCTGACCGAGCGGACTGCGCGTCCGCCCACAGCCTGCCAAGGTGCTTCGATCCGCTCCGAGCCCTTTGATCTCTGAGCTTCGCTGACAGTCCTGATAGAAGGGATGCCCGCCTTGACACATGGGCGATGCCAGAAACAAAGCACGCCGAAGGCCCAAAGGCTGTTGCCGACACCTAAGGAGCAGTTTCTGCGAGCACTCTCTGCATCCGCAGTGGTTCATCTTTGAGTTTTGAGCTTCAGGCCCTGTGGGTCCAGCTCCCCAGCACGACCGGCGAGGGACTGGGCAATGGCCTCGAAAAGCTCGTCCGAGGCCACGCCAAGCTTGGCAAAGGACCAGGCCGCTATGGAGAGATGTTGAGCCTGACAGCTCGAACGGAACAGCGATGCCCGCTGCCCAGCGTTGCAATGCCTCGCCTGGCACTCATTGGCCCTGGCAACGAAGTCTCGGCACAAGACCTCAAGCAGCTGCTCGTGCAGCAGACCCAGCTTGGCCAAACCCCAGGCCACGTTGGCCATGTCCTCGTGGGCTGGTTACAACGGTTAAACATCACTCTGTAGATCCGCCATGTCAGCTTTGTTGGTCCTGCGGCGCAAACTTGGCCACCTTTTTGACAGACTCGTCTGCCACAGCCTCTATCATCGACGCGGCCTCCACGCCGGCAGTTGCGTATCCTTGGGCAAGTAGATCAGACAGACAAGCGTGACTTAAACCCGCACTTTGTTTGCTTAGGCTCCCCAGATGATTGTGGACAGGTCTTGTGGCGTCAGCTCGTGCAGGAGCCGCATCACAGTGGAGGTCAAAGTGTTCAACATCCCGACGCCTGCCCGAGGCGTGCCAACACCATGAGAGAAGCACCGCAGGCACAATATGGCCACAGCACTGCATGGCACGACACTACGATGCAAAATACAAGTGCCTGCAGGCACACGGCTTCGCTCGGAGTCTTGGGTATCCTCCAGATGGTCGGATGGCATGGAGAAGATGTTGGCAAAGCAAAAGATCTTAATCCTGTCCTCCCCACCACTTCGAGCAAACGACCACACCAGTACGCTGAGATCCTGGGCATCCGAGAAGATGTGAAAGGCTCTAAGCTCAGGAACAGCAGCCGTCCTGGGCCGTGAGGTCCTGGAGACGTGCTTTCGTCTCCTTCGAGACCATGCGCAAGGCGCGACCCGCAAAGCGGCCGAGCCGGGCTGCAGCCCAGGCAAACATCGCCAGCCTCGGAATGAAACCATCTCGCTCATCACTTCGACTCCAAGAAGACTTTCAGACTTTGTTCACAGTTCTCGCTTTCGAGCGACTCTGAGGCATCGGCTCCTGGTTCGTGAAGCTAGAAACCTTTGCCGCTGCCTCCTCCCATGGGTCAGTTGCTCTCGGACTGCGTGACCTTTGTGTGCTCTTCGCCTCCACCAGAGCATTGTGAAGACCCTCTCTTTGTATCTCCAGCTTCGCCAGCGACTGGGCAAGATTTGTGAGTCCCTGGGCGTCGAACTCCCTGCCAGCTCAGGTGAAAAGCGGCAGACTGCCGATTCACGGGAGGCCCGGCCTTACACGCTTTGTTGCTGCTGTGAGGATCGCCTTTGGCAGAACAGAGCTGGAGCTCAAATGAGCTCCAAAACACAGCAGCTTCACGGGAGTGTGCCGCCTCAACCATGGACGCCGCGGATGGGGCAGGAGCCGGGTTGGAGCGACGCACATCCTGCGCTCAGAGCGATCGAGGGGCACTGCGGCCGTGCAAACGGGACCTCCCTGGCCCTAGCCTCCCCCGCCGAAGGTCTCGGCCATGCCGTGGCCGCCGTGGAGGGCGTGGCTTGCAGTCCTCAAATGAAGCAGAGCGAGGCAGGTCCCGAGTCTACAGCTTTCACAGTGTCACAGCTGCTACAGTAAGGAGTCCCAGGCATCATCATCATCATCAATATGCGGTTTGATACATCGGATGGTCAGCAAAAGAACTCATGCTACGAGTCTGACCTTCCCACCAGGCAAACGAAGCCAGCGCACATAGGAGGAGGCATCCGCAGGATTTCAACTCTGAAATAAACAATAAGAGCGAGAGAGACAGAGAGAGAGAGAGAGAGACACAGAGAGGCAGAGTGTGTGACAGAGAGAAAGAGAGAAAGAGAGAAAGAGAGAGAGAGAGAGAGAGAGAGAGAGCGAGAGTAAGGAACAATTCCAATGATTGCTTGAACATTCCTGAAGAAACCATCAGATCCTCCTTAGGATTCGATCGGCAAAGGGTTCACCCACCCACCCACTCACCCGCCCTCCCTCCCTCTCTCCCCCTCACCCACCCATGCACCCCTGCACGCGGCTGTTAGTATAGTGAACATCCTGGCCACGGCCACCCCAAAGACTTTTACTAGAATGTGGGCAATCTGTGCTCTCGTACTGACAGTAAATATTTCCATCAAATGGATCTCCCTGTTGAAGTAGACCCTTAGGTTAGAAGTTGGAACCACGTGATTTCCGCAGTGATGGCTACCCAAGTTCGAGAAGTCGAAGCGCGTTCCACTCAGAGGTCGCAAGTACTGTGGCAAAATGCCGGACCCAGTACGTGCAAGATGGCCTGGTTTGTCTGATGTCTCATCGGCTTCACTGTAAACTGCGCCAGCAGCGAACATACCTTCGCCCGGGTCTGCCATGCAAAGGAAATCAGCAGCGGGACAGAAGAGCGCTGCCATACATACAGCTGATGATGCTGGGATGATGCTGGGACGAACATCCTATACAGTCCTACAGCGGCGAAAAGTGTCGAAACAGCTGCAGCTGGAGCCAAGTTACAGGGATGGAGAAAGCAAGTAGCGGAGTACCTTGAAGCTGGCACTGCAACAACAAGGTCTTCACAAGACCGGAAAAGCATCGCACTTGAAAACTCACGGAGGGAGTTCATGATAGGGCATGAACAAGGCATTAGGACCGTTAGGTGCTCAACCACCACACCATGAATGTGTCCTGTGGTGCCAGCAGCCAGCAGCTGAGCCTTCAGGCCGCACGAGAGTCCCTACATGTCCCTATACTGCTCGCATTCAGCATCTAAGTCGCCCGCGAAGGAGTAGACGATGATCGACAGGTGCTGGGGCGAGAAGCTCTCAACCTGGAGCCCCGAAGAGCCCTTTGAAGGTCGCAGACGAGAAGCACCTGCCTTCTGCAGCACTTCTGATGCCACCGTTTCTTCGAGAGCTGCATCACGCCTGCCCAACCTGGCGTGAACTGAAACAGCTAAGCCTGCACCGGTGCTCCTGAAGCGCAGCCGAGAAGCTTTGCGAATGCCCAGGCCAGGTTCGCCAAGTCCTGCAAAGGGGCACGGGGACAAAGAAGCCCCAAGCCGCCTGAAGCTTCGCAGGGCTCCGCTAGACTCCGCTCCTGGGCCTGAAGCTCTGGCGCCAGCTCCTCGGCACGGCGGGCCGTGGCGGCCAAGAGGTTGGGACTTGCCAGGCCAACAGCAGCGAAGGCCCAGACCTGGTCTGAATGGAAGGGTCAGCGGATGGAAGCGCTGGGCACGGCCGTTTCTGGCCGTTCAATTCAGCCAAGGCCGGGGGGCTGCATTGGAGCAGTTCTGAGGGTTGAAGTCTGGCGCCAGCTCAACAGCTCGGCGGGCGATTTGCTCGAAAAAGTTCTGCCGGGCCAGAACGACCTCGAGCTTTCAGCTTTGGCATCTCGGAGCGAAAGGAACCTAGTGCGCATGGCAAGCCTTGGCGAATGCCCAGGCGACATTCACCAGGTTCTGCGAGGAGAAATGGAGCAGCTTCTGTTGACACTCGCTTTCCTGAGATGCCGGTGAGTCTCGAAGACAACTTTTCCTTCAGGCCCCTTGCACAGCAACAAAACTCTGTGAAAACTGCATCGCATCTCTGCATGAAACAGAAAACATCAGCTCCGTTCTCCCGCGGCCAAGTCTCCACCGCTGAGAAGAGCTCTTGGTGGCGCACTGCCAGCTTCGCAAAGGACCAGGTCAGGTTGCTGATGTTCAGAGCGCTCCAAGACTGAGGTAGCAAACAAAAAAGGAGCAGGGATGTATAGGTTCTGACGGCTCACTGTGGGAGAAAACACCTGTATGGTGAGCAGGGCGTCATCGACCACCGCACGGACGGCGCCAGCTCGAGGCCTGAGTTTTGATGCCTCCCTCCGACAACGCTCGGAAGATTCTCCTATGATTTTGACGAGAGTCTGAACGGCCACTTTCGCAAAGGCCCAGAGGATGTTCGCCAGGTTCTGCTGGGACCTTGAATTCTGTGGACGTACTGGGACAGAACAACAGCATAGCATAGCATAGCGTTACCGTTACCAAAGCACAAAGGCCCTTGCCAGTTCCCGGCTCCCTCCGCCAGCTCTCGCGACACGGCGTCCATAAGGTGCTCATGGCGCCTCGGTGATGAGGTGAAGCAAACTGGGAGGATGCCGAAGCTTGACCAGAGCTCTGAGCTAGACGATTTCGGAGCTGCTTCTTAGAAGTCTGACACTTCCCACAAGGGAGGAAATTCGTGCAAGGCAACATCGCACAGGGGCGATGGAGCTTGCGCATACTGTGAAGTGCAAAGCCTTCACAGAGGCTTGTGGGGCATCTTCAGCTGTGGTCTGGCGACGCCGCAATTGCGGCTCTGCTTCGCTGAGCAGCATACAGACAAGAGCAGAAAGGTACAAGGTTGCGACTTGCATCTCGGAAGCCTTGGGTCTGGGTAAATGTGTGTAAGACCTTGCCTCGGGACCAACCTTGCTCTAGGAAGCCAAGCTGGGCTTGGGAAGCTGAGCTAGGTGTGACCTCACCCTCCATGAAAACACCATCCTTGGGATGGGTTTAGGTCCAGGTGAACGTGCGACGAAGTTACGGCGATTGCTACGCAGCTGAATGCGTTCAGTTTCATTCGATCAGACTCTCCAGAGTCTGCTCAGAAATCTCAAAACGAGTGTCCCAAAATTTAGAGACACTGAAACGACAGCACCAAGCAGCCTGGGATGTCCGACGTCCTACGGTCCTACATTTCCTGCGTCCACATGATGTTCTTTTCTGGCTCAAACCCAGGTGCGAGGGCCTACGCAGAACATTAGCAAAATCACAGCTGAGACCGGAGATGGCGTTGGCTCTCTAGAAACCGTCACGGAGCATAGCGCGCAGCATCGGTCATCTTGGCGGTGCCAAGCAGCCTCAGCGCAACCATAAGTCACGCAACGTAACACCTGGAATGTCTCGATGTTCGAAGTTTGTGGAATCAGGTGTTCAGTGATGCTTGGCTCATGGATCTTATGGAGACTGCTGAACGACACACTAGCCGGGTCTAGACTAAGACCCTAGGGTCCTTACACTCTGAACACTCTTCCGAGTCTTGGTACCTATCGCTGTTTGCAAGCCGGGAGCGTGATCTGATCATCAACGAGGGATCTTCGACGGTGTCTATTCCAGGAGGTCTTATGCTGTTTCTTTGGGATCACATTCGCGTTCTCCAGTGAATCCGTCAGGGCCCTGCAGTGCGCAGCAAAAGCGCATGACATGACAAGACATGTGTTCGGCACTGGTGCAGCATGTTCATGTCGCAATGTGCCGCACTCGCGCTCAGCGCGCTGGATGGAAGGCGTGAACTGTGCCACCGCTCCGTTCGAGAATATGCTACATCGCCAGTCGAGACGCCGCACTTGTTCTGCCACAAGTCTGACATCTTTCTGCATCATGATCCTTAGAGTCGTAGAGGTCATCTCAAATCGTTTGCTGACCAATGGGTTCAGAAGTGACCAACACCGTTGAGTCGAGGCACTGATCGATGGCCCTCGCTGGGCCCTTGCAACGTAGGATGCCGTCAATAAAATCGCCACCTAAGGTATCACTCACGAAGGGAATGTTTTGGGCAGTTTTGGGCAGAACCTGCTGCTTCTGCGACGTGTGTTTGTTTCCAATGTTTCCAACAGCTCGGCGCTCGGGAGATGTTAGACGTCACGTTGGGTTTTCCGATTTCAGACTCATCAACAAGCCTCTTTGAACTTTGCCAGCACGACTCACAAGCCTCCCACATCCGATCGCCGTTGCATCACCCCTCCAACCCGTGCTGAGCGAAAGATCGTGTAGCCGACTGTGAGTTGAAGTCGGGCGGTATAAGCTGAGGTGCTCGAAAACCCAAGGAGGGTTGCATGCATTGCAATTGCAACTGGCCCATGATACTACAATGAGCATGCCGGCCTGAGCATTCAGAGCAGCAACTACTGACTAAGGTTAGCACACGTGATCTGTCCATCACCTCAGCTGAAAATCGACAGCGGTCTAGAAAGTCTCTTTCTGAGACAAGGCTGCAAAATTTAGATTGCAGCAGATGTGCCGTTGGCAAGCAGATGGAAAAGTGCACTCGACTGCATCACGTCAATGTCAAGGGTTTCCCAGTAAGTAGTGACTCGCGTGTCCATAAAGAGCTCGTTCCTCAAACGGCGTTGGGCATTGGACACTGGCACAGCAGCGAGCGGCATTAGGCAGAGCCACCATGAACCTTAAGCCCTTGTCAAGCACCAACCTGTTGTCACAGCCCCTTCACAGCCAGTGTAAGTCCAAGAATCATTTCGTCCTCGTCGATGAGCCCATCCTGACTTTCGTCGATCGCATTGAATATACCTCAGACGTCCCCTGGGTGGCTCTGCATCCCACAGCATGCGCGACATGCCTTTGCTGTGTACCCATCCGAAGCTCCCAGCATGCAAGCTGGAGGTTTTTCCGTCTGTGCTGCTTCGCATGCATGCCAAGGTCAAGATGCACTTGTAGGATCAATAACGCTCACTCACCACTTGCACACTGTTTGGGATTCGGCAAACAGACTCAATGGAAAGCCGACACATAGGCGATCATGACCCCACAATTCTAGCTTTTTTCGCCTTGACCCATTTCCAGAATGATCCAGAATGCATGATTCCCCCGAAACATTGCACTCCGTTTCGATGGCGCTTGAACTTGCGCTGAACTCTTTGAGCATCTCTACATCATTCGAACCCCGGTTTGCTGGATCTGGCACAGAACAACAACTCTTGCCAGGCTGCTCTCGAGTTTGTGAATGTACGTGGCTTTTCTTCTGAGACCTTCTTGGACCATCAGCTCCGCATCATTGTTTGCAGCTTCCAAGGTCTCTCGCAAAAATATTGCCGTGATGACACGAATGACCTCAGCTGAACGCGGATCTGTCCAGACCCACAAACATTGACCACAGGGAAGCGCTCAGGTATGACTGCAAAAATTCAAAAAACCCTGAAGCAAAGCGATCACAACTGCAACTCGAGGGGAGGGACGCATGAAGCGATAGGAAGCGTGGGGCGACCCGTCAAACGAATCTATTGCCCCAATTTGCATTTCGGACCGGCACATGACAACCAGCTTTCTGCCTCCTACAGTAGTGGGTCAAGACATATTGTCAGTGATGTGCTCGGAGCAATCGAGGCAGCTCACTCTCTTTGCTAATTGCTGACAGTTCCTGTTAATTTCGGAACCAAAACACTCAGAACGCGCATCCTGCAGGGCCTCACAGGTTCTTATGCAATGCACGAAGTGGCTGTGTCTCCCTTTTTCATTGGACGGACAACCTGTAATCCCTACAGTTTACATAGGCAGCAGAAGCTCTTCCCACAGGGCGGGCCTGCGGGAAAATCAAGAAGACTATAGCACTGCACATGTGCCGGCACCGAAGCTGTGTACACTGCTGATCATGCCGGTGCGCACTTGGTATCAAATGCAACTGCACAGCACTGCATGTTCATGTGAAAGAAGGGTGTACTGCTAAACCCAGCCGAACCGCTGAACCCGACACCTCATACGCTCTTATGCATTGCACGAAGTGGCTGTCTTTCCTTTTTCATTCGACGGACATGCCTGCAATCCCTATAGGTATCAAAAGCTCTTCCCAAGCAACGCCTCCTGCCAAGGGCTCCGCGTGGTTTGTCAACACTTTCCGCACACAGTCTGCAAGCTCGCAGTGGAAACCTTTTGCACGGGACTATGAAATTAACTACACCAGTGCACCAGGGCAGCGCATCCCATCCACAGCGCCATAACTTCGCTCACCGACAACGCCATTGTGCTGGGTGGGAATGCAACACAGTGCCCATCCTCAAACTTGAAGCCACGCCAGATCCGTCTGCGCAGCTGATCTGCGTCCTGGTTTCCGTTTCCCACGTTGTGGGAAGCTTGGGAGCGGCATCCCAGATCCAGCGAAGACAAAGATAAATTCATGTCAGCGCAAGACAGCACTGAACAGAACAGAGACGCTTGCCTGGTGTGCCCACCACACCCATCCTGTCGGACTGTTGTCACAAAACCATGTGGACAAGAGTGCAACGGGATTCCACTTTGACCCGCACCAGGAGCACTTCTTGCTCTGCCACCATTTCGATGGCACAAACGGCCTTTTCCAGCTGTTCTTTCGGGAAATCCACACGCGACAAAAAGCTATGAAATCCCGGCGCCAGGAAACCAACCACCGACACCTGCGCCGCCCAAGGACCATGCATCTGCCCGCAGGCTGACTCGATCAGGGATAGAGTGCATTTGCTGCCGTGGCTGGGTCCTCGTACCAAACCTCCCAGCGTGGAGTTGGGGCAGCACGACCTAGAGCACATGCGCTGCCCAAGCCTCCTTCATCATCAACCTTTGCCCCACAGCACGGAAACACCCACTTAAAGTGTTCAGTATCCAGACACCCGGCACAAGCGGATCGCCTGCTTCGCTGTGCGCTCCAGCACTGTGCGCGGAGTCCGAGTCTGAGAAGCTGGAAGACGAAGAAGAACAAGAGGAGTCCCCGGCCGGGCCTGACTCTGGATCTGTGTCACTATCTCCGCTGTCGCAGCGCGGCGGACTGCAGCTCCATAGTTTCCACAACGCATTTGCAAGTGCAACATCACCGCAAACATAAATTAGTAGGAACATCCAAAACTTGACAAAGCTGCCATCTGACATGACCGCCCTCCCCAAGTTTGCAGTGAAATTCCTGCCAACCCATGAGAGCTGCTGCAAATTTGAGCGCCGACACCGCACAAGCCACCGACCGCTTCTGTTCTGCAAATGTTGCAAGCATCTTCAATCTCGCGGAATTCAAAAGAAACCTTAAGCCCACGCATGTGGCGCAGCTGATTTGCACTGCAGAACCTTCCACAAACACCCAGTAGTCAAGGAGCCCTTTTTTTCGAGCGGGAACGCTGTCAATCGTGTCAGGTTTGGTTGGAACACACAGGAGTGACATGGCCGCTTCATCAACAAAGCCTTCTCATGCAGACGCAATTTTTACTCCCCATGCAGATGATCGATCACACAAGCACCCGTGCAAGACATACATCATAGGAAACCTTAATGTGCCAGCGGGGACAGGTCACGACGGCCGGGCCGGAGGCCGGAGGCCGCTGTGCTTAGGAAAGTACAACTCGCAACTAGTTGCCAGCTGTGTTTTTCCATACTACCAGGAGCACCACCGACCGGGCCGGTGCTGCGCTATGCTGGGGACAATGCAAGTTGCTGTCCAACATGTATGCTGCTTTTCGGCAGCATTCCACATCATTTTCGAGGCCCCAGAGCTCCAGGAGCCTTCGAGAAGCAATTCGCGTACATTTGTGCTCGCAAACACCGATTTGGAGGGCCCAGAGCTTCAGGTCAGGAGCACTGTGCAGGCAGTCCACATCGAAAACATCAGTTTAGAGGCCCTAACGCTCCAGAAACCCTGGGGAAACTCTCCGCTTACGCGTCTACGCTCGAAAACACGAGTTTGGAGGGGCCAGAACTCCAGCAGCCTTCGGGGGAGCAGACCCAAAACCCTAAACCCCCTAAACCCCAATCCCTAAAGCAGCCTTAACCCTAAACTAAACCACAACGACAAGGATGACACACCAAGAGACCACCACGACACTGCGATTCAAGTTTTTCGACAGACCAACGTGGTGAATTTGTTACAATGAACCCTGGATCACACGAATCCCCCACAAATAATGGGACATCAGCAAAAACTATGCACGGCACCACCACGGGGCCATTTCGCCACCCGGGAACAGCCACCAATTCTCTCTACTGTGAGCGCAAGAACCCGTGTTACAACAAAAGTATGTTTGCCTAATAGCAATCGGTGCGATCGAGACGGTTTCTGAGAAGGCCGGCCTGCAAAACTATCACCTGACAAACCCCGCCCCCCCCCTTCCAAAAAAACCGACTGGCCCACATCCAAGAGCAACACTCACCACTGACCATGCACCTTTAGCAACTTTAGCAGCAATCCTCATGTAGATGTAGCTTCTCAACAACACGAGTTCACGCTTTGTAGCCCGAATCGGCGAATAAAGATATATATATATATCTATCTATCTATTTCACAGCAGCGACATGCAGCGACTCTACTTTTCTGGAGAAGCTGGAAGTGCTCAGAGTTGGCGGTGCGCCTAGTTGCGCACAAAAGACGACGGGCCGTAGCCCAAAACTAAGGTACAACCCCCACTTGGGTTCTCGCTCGTGAGCGGCCGCTCCCGTAGGAGGAAAGGAGAGCCTTCGGCTCAAATCAGCCAACTCTCCCGACAACTGTCCAAAGACCTTCAACCTGGCGAAGCCACCCGCCAAAAAGCAGCAAGGTGACGGTGCAGGGCGGTTACGTGGGTGGGCAGAAGAAGTTGCACCAGAGTGGCACGCGCATCATCAATGTAAATACGGGCAGTGCCCTGATCTTTCCATCTTCCCTGCACCACAGTTTGACCCAGACTTTGGGTTTTTTGGTAAAAGTGAGTGGCACCTCCGCGGCGCAAACAGTAGGGCAGGTACGAGTGCGGCTCCAAGCCAATAGCCTTGACCAGGGCCGCAAACTCACGACGAAAAGTCACGGGCGTACCCGAATAGATGAGGTCACTCGGGCGTGCCCGGTTCCACAGATAATGCATTACATTGACCAGGCCAGGCTCGTTGAGGGAAAGGGATTGCTGGAGGCCTTTGGAGGTCTTGCTGGAAACGATTGCAATAACGACAGTACCTTGTTCGGGAAAGAGGCGAACATGAGTTTGCTGTAGAGAAAGTAACTCCATGGTCCGCAGAAAGAAAGCGAACCCTAAAAAGACCAAGAGTGCAAGGTCCAACCGCCCCACTCGTGCAGCAGCCGCTGCGAGGGCTTTTGCGCCCAACCAAGAGATTGGGGTAGTGCGCTGTGGGAGGTGGACCCGTTGCCAGTTCCGAAGGAACAACTGGGAAGTCTGCAAGAAGTTCTTGCACCTTGGGTGAAACCGTTTGAGCCCACTGAGGGTCCAACCAGCGAAGGAAACACTGTCGCCCTCCTGGTAAAGGTGGTTGATATATTCTGAGAGCTCATCGTCTAGCTCGTGCATCGTCCTTGGGAGCCTGCCCCGTAGGGCGCGAGTGTAAACAAAGACAGCCGCCACCGCCCGCTCATAAGAGCGCCTTGTCCTCAGCGCGATCCCCAAAAACCGAAGGTGGTCACGCCGGTTCGAACTTCCTCGAGGCGCCATCGGAGAAGTTCCATTTGCTGATTGTCCACAAAGTCATTGGGATCACGCCAGAGGCGAGGATAACGGCGGTAACACGGCGGCAAACTCTGTTAAGGCGCTTGGACGATGAGCGCCTTTTCCCAGGATGTAAAAGGTCACCAAGGAATCGACGATGCAAAAGAAACGATGCCCATGCTCTTCTGGGCTTCGGGCTCTGCGCCTGAGCTCCGTAAGGAAAGCCGTCAGCTCGAGGATGTTGATGTGCTGCGGCTCCTTCCATTTGTAGGACAGGACATCCCGCCAAAGCCAGCGAAAGGCTGGGTAAGGGGCCGGGCGGCTCCCGACCAGGTCCTCTCCCCCGTCAGTGAGGCGGACGTCACACCCAGCGCGGTAGGCGTGTCGAAGCAACCACCTGAGATGCTGTGCCTCGTGGTGAGTGTCCATCGTCTCGAGGAACTTCACCGTTTGGGTCACCGCCCAGTCCACGGCAGTGGCGTCCTGCAATTGTAAGACTGGATCAAGGAGTCGTAGACTCCCTCCATAAAAAGACCAGGCAAACGGGCCAAGGGTACTCCGAGTTGTTTTCCGGATTTCGGAGCCCGAAGGGGTCCTGGTCGTGACCATCGCAGGTCGGCTTATCCAGGACTGCGTGCAGCGAGGCCGAGTTGTGGACCACGGTAAGCCACTCCGATCCCCGCCGTGGCAGCACAACGAGAAGGTGCTCCAAAACCACTCTCCTCCGTAGAGGGCCTGCATCTCTGGGAGGTACCAGATGTAGGAGTCGTAAGGGTGCTCTATACCTTCCGCGGCGTGCCGCCTCGAGCAGACCCTTGATTGCCCGCTTGGCCATGGCATTTGCCTGGCGAACCACCACGGCATCATCGCGTTGAAGGTAGGTGAACCTATCAGGTGAGTCGTGGTCCCTGTATTGACGGGGCCCACAGACCCACTGACCCCACTCATCTTTGATCCATTCCCCCCCGCCGCCAGGAAAAGGTGTGCCGATCAGGGGCCCAGACTCATAGTCCTGGAGCCTCTCTTTCCCATCATCGGAGCGGAAGTCCCAGGTGTCTCGCTCCACCTCAAGGTCAAGAGGACGTTGTGCGGCGATCCCCTTGAGCCCTGCCGCCTTCGTAACGGGAAAGTTTCTCCCCGAAAAGCGTTCCCCAAACAGCGGAACGTGCCACCACCTCCGGCAACACTCGCAGTCGTGCCCCCAGGTGCACCGTAACGTGCACATCCTCAAACTGCTAACTTTCCTTTGGGGCTCTTAGGCAAGGTATGTCATCCCATGGGGGCTATGCAATGTCCATGCCCTTCAAAGGCATGACCTCGTGCACCAGGGTGTGCCATGGCCGGATGTTGAGATACTCACAAAGTATTGGCATGTTTACATCGCACCGAAACCACAATTCACGGAGCGCCCGGTGAAACTTCTGGTGAAACATACCGGTGAAACATAAAACATGGTGAAATGCAATATCGAAATCATCACTTGGGTCTGGAGACAAGGCCCGGAGCTTGAGCCATGAGTTTGAGCCGGGAGTGTGAGAGTCACTTTTAGCAGAATAAAGGGCAAGAGTTTTTGCCAGGTATGTGCAAGGCAGAATGAGCGGATGTTCGCGCCAAGCTTTGAGCCAAGGGTTTGAGCCCGAGCATAGGATTTAGGGTTTGGGTTTAAGGGCGGCTTAGGGCCTGTAATTACTAAAAGCCAAAACATATTGCCCAATTGTTATGTGGGCGGCGAGCTATCGGACATGGACTGATAAATTATTGCCCAAAATGTTATGTGGGCGGCGAGCTATTTGTTTGAGGCTCAAACCGCACTTCCTTGGGCAGGGGTAAGTGCGATGCTCGGCTTCAGTGAGCTCCTTCCCACATGCTCCGCAGCGGTTGGTGTCTTGCAAGGGGAGAGGCGGGAGAGGCAGGAGGAGCGACTTGTCCTTGAAAGCTGTCGCAATAGATGCTCCCCCGCCCGTGGGCGACGCATCCGTGCAACTAATGGTCGCAGAGATCTCCGACGAGAGGTCAGTCTCAGCCAGGGGCGCCAGTATCGTAAACAGGAGCACCTCGTCCATCACAGGGACCGGAAGGTTAATCTCCGTTCCAGCGTCGGCCCAATCCATGGTTTGCTGGAGAATAGAGTACAGGGGCCTCCTGAACGCTGCTGCGAAGGCTGCCTTGCCAGCCCAATGCCTCAGGCAGAACTCACTCATGGTGTCCAGAGTCAGGAGACCCAAACCAAGCTCGATGAGCTCCTGGGTCTTTTCATGGGAGTGCCGAAGCACCTTTTCCTTTCCCAGGATATCATCGTCGAAGTTGTCGAGATAAAGGATGGTGTGGTCATCCGCCTCTGGAAGGGCCCGGTCCTTTCTTACATCCCCGTCGGGAGGGACCCTGGCAATCTCATAAGAGAGTGCCGAATCGCCGCCTGGATGACGGTGAGGGCGGACGTCCAGCCCATGGGCACTGGCACCACCCTCAGACCCGGGCGCACCATGACGGACCCGGAGAGCCCCAAGGGCGTCCCGCGAACCTTCTTTGCAAAGCTAAAGTAAGGGGTTCAGACCATCGCAACCTTGAACAGGTACGTTGAAGGCGCTCTGGAGGGTCTTCAGAGTCGACCACCAAGTAGCTATCCTTCTCGGCGAGAACGGCCGTGAGCTGCCCAATGTAGGGCAGGCTGTCCTGGGGTCCTGGCAGCAGGCGCATTGCCTCGTTCATCGGGCAAAGGCTGGAGATGAACCGTTGGGCCTTCTCGCGCTTTCCATTCACCACCTTGACCTTCGAGACAGCCCCTGCGCCATGTGTGATAAGGTGGCCTCGTCTATGTCGAGGGACGTCCTCGTCTGAGACCGGGACGAACATGCCTCGGTCGTAACCGGCCTTCACGATTTTGAACCATTCCTCGTCAAGGCCCTGACCCGGCCGGGATCCCCTATGACGTTCAGGCAGCTCGGTCTCGGGAAGCAGGTAGTGATCAGTCCTTTAGGTCCACCACGGCCGCCGACCTTACCTTAATTGGGCCAGGCTTTGATCACCTGCTCCGCATTGAGGTCCATCATGTGGTCCACTGGCTCCCCATTGTAGTCAAAGCGCTTTCCCTTCAGTTTTTGGACCGCTTCCTCCACCGTGGCGAAGGCGGTCTACCTGCCCAGCTATCCGGCCGATGGCTTGGAGGTGGCACGGACTGAGGGAGCGCGACATTGGCACACAAACGGGTGAGGACCACCCGGCACAGTAGAGGAAGTTCAGGGCGATGAAAATGGCCCGGACCCAGTGTATGTCGTCCTTCGTGACCCCCGTGATCGATGGGGTGATAAGCCCGGGGTGCAGCGGGAGGAGGTCCCTGTTGCACCCTGCCAACAGGCTTCAACTTCGGCTTCTTCGACAACACTGTCTTCAGCCTCTTTCTCCAGTCATTCATAGAAAGACCTGTGACCAGGCTTGCTGCGTAAGGGCTCCCGGCCGTCCCTGTGGGGAGTCCTTCATCGTCGCTGTCCCCAATGTAGCCCAGATCAAAGTTGAGGACCCCGTCCTTGAGCATATCCTTGTAGTCCGGGACCAGCACCGGTTTAAAATTGTTGACCAGCTGCAGGCCCTCTCCCTTGGGAGGATGTTCCACCGCCGCCCGTGGGCGGATCATTCACGGCCGTGGCCGGATCTACTTGTGGGGGGCTCCCTCCTTCCCTTTTCCGTGCTTCCCTTTCTTGGCCCCGTCCTTGCCGCCCTTGGGGTCGGTCTTCCCGCCGGTCTTCTCGAAGTCCTTTCCCTTGTGGTTCCCTTGACCTTTTCCTCTCCTGAAGCTCCTTCGATGCCAGGACTGCCTCGTCTCTCTCCAGGAGCACTGGCCTTTCGGGCTCGAGGAGCTCCAGGAACTGAGCTCTGTTCTAGGTCGTGTCGCTCTGCGACAGGTGCAGGGCCTTCAGACGCTGAGCCAGAGTGTCGGCCGCGGAGTGGGACCGACCGGCTGCGATCATGTCGAGGGCGGCGGCCAGGGTCTTCATCTCGCGCAGGGTCCTGACCGGGAGCTGCTTCGGCGAGAGGACGGTCAGGACCCAGTTCATCGCCGCCGGTGGTGTCTTGTTCCCGTAGGAGACGGCTGCGATCGGCCCCCCCTCCTTGCCCACCGTACTCTGAAGCTGGAGCTGAAGTCTGGCTCCATTCCCAGAAGGGGGCCCGTCGCGAAAAAGCTGCCCCTCGTCTGAGGAACCGCTTGACACCTCCAAGGCCCGACCGTAGTCGATCTGAGTTCCTGAGCCAAAAGGCCCCCTGTCCTTGGACAGCTTTCTCTTGGACTTCTTCTTTTTCTTCTTTCCTTTCTTTCTGTCGGTGCTGGACTCGGTGCTGCTGGACCGGCCTGAGGTGTCCGTGAGCGAGCGGTCCTTTGGGTCATCCCCCACAGGCTCACCGAACCACTCGCCCTTGCCTGCACCTGACGCTGGGGCAGACCTTGCTCGGCCGTGGCCCGGCCCCTCCTTCCTTCTTTTCTTTTTCTTTTTCTTGCGCTCTTCCACACTCTCCCTCTTGGGTCAACTTGCTGGCGCTTCTTTTTGCCCACCTTCGGGGCTGCGAGCTCCTGCTCGAGATTGTGAAGCCCCTTCAGGGCCGGATCATGATCAGAAGCGTCAGGTGCAGGCAGCCGGGCCTCCTCAAAGTCCAGTCCAGCCCCGCCCTCGTGGGACCCCGAGCCCTTCCTCGTGGGGAGTGGTGCCGCCATCCTCGAAACCTCCTCGTCGACATACTTCTTGCACTTGTTCTTCTTCAACCAGTCGACTTTGTGGTCCGCGAGGTCCCCGAGCGGCACGTGTCTGAAACGGTCAGAGTGGAAGTCGAGCCCTCGTCCTCGCCGTCCTTGTTTGCAGGATCGAGCTACCCCCTTACAGAGGTGAATCTCGAACTGCCACTGCTCGTCCTTCCCCCCGCCACCGCAAGGACGGTCACCTCCGACCATTGTCCACTCTTCGTTCGGTCCTCGAGCTTGTCGATGCGGCACAGGACCGTGCCCTGCTTCACATTCGACGTGTCGTAGGCACCGAACTCGATGTAGTCTCCCTCCGCCAGGGAATAGGATGACCGGGCCTCCGGGTCCGCTGACGCGGACAACCATGGCCCTGGCATCCCTTCGGCCTCAAGCTGGAATGCTTGAGCCAGCACTTTTTCGCGAGTCACAAACGTGAAAGGCACGTGCAAGCTAACTCCGCTACGCTCCAACCGCAGCACTGAGGGTAATATGTGTGTGTGTGACTCAATACGAGACAATGCAGCCCAACAACAGTTGGCACTGTATCCCACGGCGCATTTAAACACAATAGCAAACAAGAGCGCAGACTAATTAAGCACCATGTATGTCCTGCAGAGTGAAACATACAGAATGACCGCAAGAACATATCCCTGAAACAACAGCGGACCAGTACGTCATTACACGTCCGTTCGCATAGCAGGCATCCACGACACGAAGCTGCAGGCCCTGCCCTGGCGCATACCCCACTTGACTGGTACAAGCCAAACAGAATCGTCAGGACGGCATCTTGACGCTGCCCCAAGCTCCAATGCAAGCCAGGGCTCGGCAAAAACTATGAATGTGATGTACCTGCTGGGAGACGGCATTGCAAAGCACCCGCTACACTACATCACTTGGCAGTGAAGCCAAGATGCGTAACATAGAAAACCACATAGGCGTGACTCACGTGCTCCAGCACTGGTCTGGCATAGACACCCCAATTCCCGGCAAAGGTCATCTCATACCTGCGCGTTCTAGTCGAGTGCTATTGGGTGCTGCTGTGATCTCAGAGTATCACTCAAGACTGTCTGTCGTCCAAGCAGCATTGTGTAAATCGATCGGTAGGACGTCCCATAATGCTGCCAGACCCACAAACGCCATTCCGGGTCCTGTGACTCGTCGCTGATGTAGTCCTGGAGCCTCGGAAGGGACGAAACCAAGCTCTCACTTCGCAGGACGTGATAAGTACACAGCAGATCTGACACCAGCACATTGGCTTTGACTTGTGACTGGGGGGTGTATTGGGTTGTAAGTCGGACGATGCTCTCGAGTCGAAGCTGTCATCGCCTGCATTCCGACAAGTAAGCACCGCGCAAGTTTCCGATCAGCAAGCCTCCGGACAGCATGCAAAGTCCGAGCAATGCCATAGACCAGCTCAAAGAAGGCAGAAAAGAACCTGAGCCGGCAAGGACACGCAAGAACTCAGCATCACTCCGGCGAGGAACCGGGAATTTCAACACTGATGAGACCGAGATCTTTTGCGAATCAATCCCTGATGAAACCCAAGCTTCAGTTCTCCGTAGATAGATCTGTCTCTCGACCGAGACTTTGGGCCGCTGACTGCGTGCTGCAAGATGCCACGCTTTGTCATTTGACTTGGTGCTGCACAGCGTTGCCTCATGCGATGTACTACGATGTTGTCGAGTGCAAAATGATAACAACCCCCCACCTCACCCCATCGGTTCACTTCAAGCCCCGGCCCGGCGTCCATTGAGAGGGGGGTCAGTACTAGTACAGTTTCTCTCTGCTGGGTCCTTGACTCTAATTGTCTCTGAAGCATACAGATCACTCAGATAACGGCAACTGACCCTAAAACTCGTTGGTTTTAGTTATGCTGGGTGGGGTTCGAGTTTTGCTTTTGAGGGGGTTGTGATTGAGTTTCCGAGGTCGAGTTTCTCGATCATTGACAACTCAACATTACTGCAAATACTCACCTCCCAGGCTCTGAAGCTCCACATATCAAACGGACCTACAGATACCTCAAGTACAGACTGCTGTTGGGCAGGCACTTGATCGTCCTCTCCAGAACTGCAATAGCTGCATGATGGCATGGAAAGCGGAGGGTCGATCGGTACGAGCAAGCGCGAGTTCACAGGGTGAAAGGGAAACGACGGAAGCAGACTTTCTGAGTCCCACAGAGGAGGCACGCTGGCACGCCTTGGGCTCATGTCAAGGAGCCGCATGCGTGGACCAAGACTCGCAGGCCTCGGAAAGTGAAAAGGTGAAAAGGCACAGACGTCGCCAGACAAAAGTCTCTCCTCCGCCCGGGCCTCGGAAAAGACGTAGCGCCCGCACGATGCGTACGACTCGAGCCTCGGCTTGGCACCGATAGGCCGGTCGAACCGGCGCGCGCCGGTCCAAAGCCAAAGGCGCTTTTTGCGAAACGACAGGCGAGATGTTTACTCATTATGGCCGGGAGGCGAGCTTCACCACCCGGAAGACTCGGAGAGTGGTTGCGTTGTGGGCCGGTGATCCGGACAGCAATGGATCCAGCAAGTATAAGTCAGTGACGCCAATGATGACCAAAGAGGCATCCGCCCAATTCCAGTAGTCACGAAAGTAGTCACAGCGCAGGCAGTAAAGCCGATAAATCAACTCAAGGCCGAACGCCACCACGAAGAAATGCTCCAGCACCTGGACAGCTGCACAGTTCCATGCCTCCCGCAGAAAGGGTTGGGCACGACGACTATCTTCTATTTTGCAATACCGTCTGAGTCGGCGACATCAAGGACAGGTGAAGCATCGCACACGGAGAATCCACCGGTAATCCCCAGGCTGGCTGCCGACTGAGAGCCCAGACACTCCAGAGTCAGAGCCATTGCGAAAGCATTCCTCAATCAATATGTGCTGAACCGTACACCCTTTCACACTTCTAAGCAGGCAGAAAGCCCGGTTCGCGTAGAAGTTGAAGCATGCCGAGCGTCAGGAGCACGAGGATGCCGATGAGGGTGTCGAAACGGCCCATCATTCGGTCCTGGCCAGGGTTGGTTTTCTTGCTTTTGGTTGACCTCCTTGTTCAGTTTTAGTTGTCTTGAGGTCATTGAGTCGACACGGACATGATGCGGGCTAACAGTCTCTCCTCTCCGGTGACCCCCAACATCTCCGCTGCCGCCCACGAGTCGATCACCTCCAGGTCGCTGTGCCTGCCGCGGCAGAGTGCTGCGAAATCACGCGCCGATCTTCTTCTGTCCCTCCGGCAGCCTCTTGTCAGACGGCCTCTTTCCGGCAGAGTTCTTGTCGCTGTTGGCTGACTTCCTTCTGCTCTCGCTGTCGGAACGCGGCCTGTTGAAGTGCAAATGAATTTTGTTGGTGTCTTGGTGCGTGGTGTATACATGATCATGTCGTCCTACCTAAACCGGCTGCATCGCATGGCGGATTAATCTGCAGAAACACACTTGCAACAAGCACCGCTCTGACCGCGCATGCCTGTGCATCGCAAACTCGGCAGCGGCTGTCCATGTGTCCTTTGATTCCCCAACAACCTGTGACAACTTGCGGCCAACTTCTGGGTCCAATTAGGTTCATATGGTGGCTCACATGGTGGCTCATATGCCTGAACCACATTCTCCGGCAGATTCATGGACGTTGTCTGGGAGATCGCACCGCTTTGGGAGGTCGCCGGGCTTGAGCTTGCATAGGCTGGCTGAGTAGTCTCCAGGTTGTCCGGCACGGTAGGCTGGTGCGCAGGCACGGATGCCATTGGCGAATGTGTGCCGAACTCCTGCGGCACGGTTTTTCAAGGTGAGAACAGCTCATCGCACGACGACCCCTAATCAAAAGCCCGGATCCCCCTGGCCTTCGGAAAAATGGGAGGCGCCTCAGCCCCGAAGTGACGAATGTACTCTTGCTGTTGTCAGGAGACTGGACATGATGCTTGTGGCCATGAAGGCACCGTTGTCGTGCCAGGGTGCTCGCTATCGCAATTATCATTATGATTATGTTTGTTAACATTGCGATTTGCCGGTATTCTTGTTATGACCACTACACTGCTGAATTTCAAAACAACCGATCCCTTGAAATTTGTCGCGACTTGTTGTTGCTGCTGGGGCTGCTACTGCTGCTAAGCTTGTAAGTCTTGCAAGTGTTGATAAGTCGCTTTAACCGCTCGGTTGCAGTGGTCTCTGTAGCTCTCTCGATCTTCGCCTGTTTATCATGCTACTATTACTGATAAGACTACGACTACAAGTGCCACGACCACCGCCACTACGACGGCGACTGCCAGTCCAACTGCCACCGCTGCTACTACTGCTATTACTACTAATAAAAACAATAATAATAGTAGTAGTAGTAGTAGTTGTAGTTGTAGTTGTCGTCGTAGTAGTAGTAGTAGTGGTGGTAGTACTAGTAGTACTAGTACTAGTACTAGTAAAAACTAATGATACTAATGACAATAATACATAAATAGTACTGCTAAGAAGGAGAATAGTAACAACAGAAGTACTCTAACAATAACAGCCAGCATAAAGTAATATGATATTACGACGACGACTGCTACTTCTGCTGCGACTACTCCTACAACTGCTACTCCTCCTACAACTGCTACATACTGCTACTACTGCTACTGCTGCTACTGCTGCGACTGCTACTACTGCTACTACTGCTACTTCTGCTACTGCTACTTATCGTACTTCTACCCTACTCCTTCTCCTACTACGACTACTACAGTACTACGACGACGACTGCTGTTGCTGCTACTACTACTGCTACTACCACCGCCACCACCACCACCACCACCACTACCACTCCACTATCACTACAGTTCTACCACTGCTACCACTTCTCCTACTCCTACTCCTACCTACGTCCACCGCCAGTGCCACTGCCACTGCTAACGACGAGGACGACGGCTACTGCTGCTACTGCCAATACTACTCCAACAGCAACTCATTTGCCGCTGCTGCTACTCTTACTGCTACAACCGCTGCTACCACTACTGCTACGATGACGATGATGATAACGACGGCCGCGGCGACGACGGCGATGACATGATGTCCATGTCCACGTAGGGTCTTTCGGGTGCACACAAAGCGGGACTGGGAACGCGGCCACATCCTCCCCAAGGGCCAGCTTCAGAGGTGTGGCTTCCCTGGGAGAACGCGGTTGGCTTGCACTGTGTTGCAAACTGTGCGACATCATATTTCACTGAGTGGAGACGCATACACGCGCAGACAGACACACCGACACACAAACAACCAAACAAACAAACGAGCAGCTGCACATCTCTTGTCGCCGTTGAGCTGAAGATGCATGTTGCTGTTCCCTCTGAGCTGCTGCATGCGACGCAGATAGAAACGTGTCGCATCTCTGCCGGCTAGCGGCCCGCTGAGAGAGCGCAGCAGTGCCTCCCGATGCTGCTCGACTGCTTTCCGCAACGACTGCTGCTGGGTCTCTGCAGCGCGATACCTGGGCTGAGCGCGGCTTCAACAAGAACGAGGCTTGGCATCTTCATTTCTACAATGGCCGCCGACGAAAGCGTGCCAAGCAGCAATTCCTGCGTCTGAAGAAGCTCACCAAGAACTCGATCGAGGCCTCCCAACTGAAGCACACATGCCAATGTCGGAGGAGCTCCCTGCATCGCCAGACACAACTTGCCTTCCCGCAATTCCATGCTTAAGGCCCCAAATCGCGGCAAGAGTTGGGTGACCGGCAGAAGCAAAGACTGTGAAAAACAGCTACATTCATTCATCTTGTAGCTTGCTGTAGCCTGTCAGTGTCTGTTGGCTTGAACCCTACATCGGCGTCTACTTACCGGCAAGGCCGTCTTGTACGATCTTCCGGAAGCTTCTCAAGGATCATGCGACAAGGCTCGGAGCCGAAGGGAGAAGGGAAACAGCCAGGGCAAGGTAGAGCTGCTTCTGCTGACAAGCCCCCACAAGGAAATCAGATGAGGCACAGTGACACTGCCCGTTGAAGCATGCAGCAGCAAGAAGGCAGCCTGCCCTCACATGGGGCTCGCACAGTGCTAGAGTGGCAAACGCCCAGCCAATGTTCGCCAGGCCCTGTGGTGTGAAATCCTCATCTTGCATGAGCAGGCTGTAACTGCCTCGAGAGACCATCTGAGGAGAAGACGTGCGCATTGCGGCCAACCTCCTTGGCGATGCACTCCTGCAGTCGCTCTTAATCACCCGGGCCCGGGTCTTTGTCACTGAAGCAGTGCGCAAATGCCACATTGCATCTAGGCAGAACTTCATGTGGTGGGGTCCGGACCAGTAACTTTCGCTCAGGACCACGTCCCTGCAGCCAGATGGGGTCAACACGCCAGGTTCACATGTCAGGGCCATGGATCCAGCCTCAGGCTCTGCAAGCAGATGTGCCATGGCCCAGGCAGTGTTGGCAAGACCTCTCCAGGCTGAGATTCTCACCCTGGACTCTTTCTACAAACACATCTATGGGGCGCCTTGTGCCTGAAAGTCGGGCAGCAGCTGCAGGGCGGTTCGGGCAATGGCCGTCACGAAGCCTCTCTGATCAAAGCGGGCGACGGCAAGGCTCCAGGCCTCGATGCGGGCTCTGTGCGAGACTCTGCAAGCACCTCCAAGCCGAGTCCCTGGCGACGTTGGAGAGGCCATGACTGTCCAACTCGTGCAAGCGCCCGATTGCAGATGTCCCCAAAGCCTCCACTTCTCAACTTCTGCAATGCTCCCCTGAACTCCGGAGCCGGCCTTGAGGCTTCTGTGCACTCCCGTCCACGCACGGCCACTCCATGATCCATTTTCGATCCCTCGTGGCCCATAGCCTTCAAAGTTATCCGCCCAAGGCCCAACCTTCGCAAGTGCCCACCTCGACGGTCAAAGACTGCTTAAGACCGTTTGAAGCTTGAACCACTGCTACTGAGCAGCAATGCTTTGGACACCTCCTTTACATGTGGCATCTCATTGCTGGACGGTGACACCTTCGCTTTTGGATCTCATTGCAATCATTTTGCAGCATTATCTAACAGCAAACGCACATCATGCTCTGCAGCACCAGGTACTGTAGTTGCTGTTGCCGCCGTGGCTGCCAGCTTTGCCAATACAGCGGTCAGGCGTTGATCGTGTCGGAGCTCTCCGCGATCTGTGCTTTTGGCAATGCGATGCAATGCCACCACCGAGTGAACGACATCAAACTCCTGCAGGCCCGGCACAGTCTGCAGGACATAGCGGCTGTCGGGGAGGGATACAAATGCAAAGCATGATCAGCACGTGCTTTACCAGGATATCGGCCACTGTCACAGCCATGCAGCGGCATGCGTGCACGTGCGTGGGAGCGAAACATAAAACACCACGAGCCGTGTCTTCTTGGAATATTCGTCCCTTTTCTTGGTTGTATCTCTTGCTGCATCGTGCGACCCTTTTGGCATGAAAAAGCAGAGTGAAGAATGAGACCATCAAGCAGCATGCCTAACGATCCCGGCCTCCAGGTGCAGTTCCGCGGCATGCAGTATTTCCCGCGTCGTCCAACTTTGCGCGAGGTCTTTGCCCAAGCGGATCCGCGTCGTGGCCTAGAGGGAACAGCAAACAACCGCAAGGGAGGACCTGAGGAGCCTGCTCATTCCTATGAGCCAAGGGCCTCGGATGCGTGCGACGGCCTCCGAGCGCTAGCCGTGCTCTGATTCTGAGTCCTCACTTTCAGCGCATTTTCAGCGCAAGTGCAAAGTCCTCGGCCTAGACCTTCTGCTGTCCTCTCCCGGCGGTCGTGTCCATATCCGTCGTGTCCGTTCCGGCTTGCCTTGTTCCGGCATCGGACGAAGTCGCAAGCGAATGCTGGTGTGCAACCAAAGTACCTCCGGTCGAGTCCTTTCCGGTGGCACCGTGGCTCGTCCAGGCAGGAAATTGGCCCATGGGTCGTTGGCTTCTTTGCCTCCAACGCCTGTCTGGCCCGAGCTTTTTGCAAAAATGGAAGCTGTTTCTTAGACCTGCACGTGCAAACCGCAGCGTGCACGATTGACCATTGACCATTGTATGCAGCAACATCCGGCCTGGGGACACCATGCGTTGGGTTGCGGGCACATGCAGGGCTCTCGCAGCTGGCACATCTTCAACATCTCCATATTGTGCGTCCAGCGTGTCATCTGAGTTGCTGTCCGGGGGTGCAGCCTGAGAAATAGGGGCGCCAGACGAGCTTTCCTAAAGGTGCAGTACGGTGTTGTTTTCTCCGTTGCTGTGTATCACAACTGCTACTGTTTAAGTTTGCATTGGCATCGCCACAAGAAGTGATGGTAGTGGTGGTAGTAGTAGTAGTAGCAGCAGCAGCAGCAGCAGGAAGAGGAGTAGTAGTAGTAGCAGCAGCAGGAGGAGGAGTGGTAGTAGCAGCAGCAG